GTTTGGTTATTTTATACTTGATTGGCAACTTCAGAAAAACTTAAGTAAAAATCGCATAATCAAGATGGACCAGGAGGAGGATGGAGGTGAGGGAAACCAGTTTACCTTAATGTTGAGTATTAAACATATTTTGAAAATAATATCATGGCTAACTCATAAAGCATCCATAAAAGAAAAACTGTTAACCAATGAATCCACAAATCAGTCCAAAGAGTAAACCACAATGAAATGTTCCTCAAACTGAACACAAATATAAAAACAAATCATCACCAAAAGGTTTATATTGTTCTATATATCATAGTACCCCGGACAGGTTGTATGATGCAGTCGTTTTTTTACCCTATATTTGCAATAGAACAACCATTCTTATTGAAATTTTCAAGATTTATTCTAGAGACAATTCCCAACATGGAAAATAAATAAATTAACAAAATTTCCAATTTTATGATTTTGACGGGCTTTTTTTCAAAAACACTACACTGTCAATAAAATACAGCTTTTTGCTTGAACAATTGAACTTTTAACGTCATTTCAAATATCGTCTGGCTATTGAATTTACGGCCGCCTAAAATCTTTCCAGATATATATGTTGCCATATTAATAATTGTGGCTGATTATTGTTATTCACTTAAGTCATATTCAGTATTATTACAGTGCATTAGGCCAATAAAAACGTGTTGCTCTGGGTCTCTAAGCGTTCCCTAGATTGAGCCCAGATAGAGGAGGTCAATCTTCTTGTCCACGGACATGAGTTCAACCCGGTCACTGTTCAATACTGTCAGAAATGAAGTAAAACATTACGAATCTCCTATTTGAAGTATTCTTGGCATTAGATCCTTCAGAGATGTTAATACAGCTGTGTCAAATTTTGTCAAGAAATTGTCAGGGACACCTGACATTTTAAAAGCATGGTACAATTTACGTGCCACGGGCTTGCATGCTGAGTGACGGTGGCGGAACCCAGTGGAGAAAAAGGTGCGTTTTCAGAGAAAACATGACCCCGAGTGACAAGTTTTTCATTGGCCTAATGCACTGTAATAATATTAGGCCTATCGTATATGACAAAAATGAATAACAATAATCAGCCATAATTAATATGGCATCAAATACACCTGGAAATACTTTAGGCTGTCAAAAATTCAATTGCTAGACAATCTTTGAAATGACTTAAAAAGTTTAATTGTTCAAGCAAAACCTGTATTTTATTGACAGTGGAGTGTTTTTGAATAAAGCCTATCAAAATCATAAAATTAGGAATTACGTTAAAATATTTTTTTTCCATGTTGGAAATTGTCTCCAGAATAAAATAGGAAAATTTCAATAAGAATGGTTGTTCTATTGCAAATATAGAGTAAAAAAACGACTGCATCATACAACCTGTCCGGGGTACTACAGTATGTATCAACTTTAATTCTTGCTTTCTTCTCTCTTGAGCAGACTAATATAAAATATTTCTTCCTGTATCTACAATGCATTATTTAAATCCTGATTGTATCTTTTAATCTGCGAACTGGATTCTTCATTCCTCAAAAGCTCATCAACTGACTGGAGAATATCAGATGCTTTGGAAAAAAGAAAGAAAAACATATAATGCATCAAGTTATTTTTTACATGGATACAGTTTCCAGTTGAATATAGTATATCAGAGCTAAGATATGTTGTGTAAACATTGCTTCATTCCATATGTTCCATAAAACATATGTGTGTATCCCAACTGAAATATTTCTCTATGTAATCATGCTCGTTCTACCTTTTCTCTCTTATTAGATTGAAATACCTGAATATCTGTTATTTCTATGTAATAATATTGGAATTGAGTTTGATTATGCATTAATTACATTTTGCTATCTTTTTTCTGAGTTTTTCATTTAAACATGTGATTGGGTTCAAGGGGTTATAACTATGGTATAGGTAGCAACAGATTGCCTGTGTCATATTCAGTTGATAAAAAGTACAAAATAGTATTATTTTAATGCGTTTGAGTCTATTTTATTATGAAGAATTAGGAAGTGTAAAAATATATCACTTGACTTAAAAATATTGTGAAGTAGCGTCACAATTATAATTGAATATGATGCCATCTATATGTCTTTTAATTAGGGTTCTATTAGAAATTGTTATTAATAGATTGTCATGGTAACCATGTCAACAACATGGTCCTATTAAAAGCATTTAGTTAATACATTTTTATTGCAACTAGAGTTTTTGAAATAGGGGGAGGCATTTAACAAATATGGTTCAAATTATTCTAATAATGCCTTGGCCTTGCTTTATATTTGGTCTGCTTACAAAATAATTATTGAAAAGTTGAAGACATATTTTCAAATATACTGTTTTTCTCTACTTTTTAGTTACAGGTTTTATCAATGATTCTGTCTGAGTTTTTAATTGTAAGTGCAGTAGCTGGTAGACTTAGGTACACATTTATTATTAACATAATCTAGAGTTTTCAAATATTTACATTGGCTGAGGAACAGGCCAGGAGTCTGCTCCTAGATTCCCCTGAGAAAACTTCATTGACGGTCATGTTTTGAAATGAGGAATAGGGTGAATAAAAGTGAAATGAGCAAGGAATAAAGTAAACAGGCATGTAGCTAATACTCCAAATTGTACAGAAATAACAGAAAATAAGTTACTTTATTCAAATTTTAGGGAGAAATTGAGTAAAAGAGGCATGAGCAGACGGATGTTATTGATGGGAAACACCTGTAGAGATGTGGGAAGCGAATAAAGTAATCATGGTATCTTGATATAAATATTGCATTCCATCTGTTTCTATTCAACAGAATAATTTACAGGTATACATATGATGTCATAGACGTATGTATGTGCATGGATACAGGAGGGTGCTATAGACCTATGTGTATCCTAGGATATGATGTCATAGCCTCGGGCCCATAGCCAGTGTGGGAGGTTTGAGATTTTTGCAAAACCTGGTAAAGGGCTTGCAGGGATATGATGACAAAGAATAATGTGTATGAATCTATCATCACAAATCCATGGATGACATGAGGTGCTCATTAATCAAAATTATTACCTATTATTTATTTATGAAATTGGTCAACAATGTATTTTTACAGGTCTCTCTATTTTACGTAATTAGTAGATTTGAATTTGCTGACTCAATATTGTCAAACTTTTTGAACTGAAAAACAAAACAATTTTGAATGAAATTGTCGTGAAAAAATGACTTACTTGGAGATTCCCTCAGTTTAAGACCTGTTTCATGTATATTTATCAACAGGGGTGCTGTTTTCTTAATTACTAGTATCTTATATGAATGTTACAACTAAGGAAGATCATAAGCCACTGGGCATGTTGCATGACTTATGATAATAAGTAAATAGGATTATGTGATTGAATTAGATACGGAAGCTGTTGGAGATTGTCTAGCCAAAGTTATATAAAGATACATTTATTATAATCTTATCTGTGATCATACATACATATAACATATGCATACATGTACAATATATACAACTTTATTTAGCACGGCACGAGTGATTTAAGAAATTCATTAGACTCAATATTGCAATTTTTAAGTTCGGGATACAATTAGGCATTTGACTGAAACTAAATATATATAGACATAATTATCGAAGATTATAGAGATAATATATACAGGTGTACAATTAAAGGTATACAGGAAGAGAATATAGAACTAAAGGTAAGGGCTCATTGAAGATTGATTGTTAATTTATTTTGGAAACACAGACAAATTAGTATTACATTTACTCCAAACAGCAAAGGGTTTATATGAGAATATCACTGTCAACAAAGCTGAATATGAATTTATTATAAGTTGAAATTTTATGTGTTTTGGTTTTTGCCATACTCATGATCCTAGTATAAGTGCAAGATGCAGAAAAGAAAGTTGACAAGAAAACTCATGCTAAGAGGTACATATTTCCATTGCATGTGGTTAAGTGATAATAGCTGTGACCACCCCAAATTGCATTCAATAAATGTCACAAGGTTGGGTGAACCTAATGAAAACCCCTGTAATAGATTAGTTAATATGTTTCTTGTCATGACATCTACATACATAGGGTCAAATATGTCAAATACAAATACAAGGTGTTTAAAAATATGATGTACTTTCCATGGATTTTCTCTGGATTCACATTTGCTCCGATTTTCACTACGGCGCTCAGCCGATTGAGTATTTTGTTCAGAAATATATTCAATTTTGAACAAAATACTCAATCGGCCGGTGATCGGCTGTGCACCGGCCGATAAATCGCAGCAAATGTGACCCAGGCATTAGCAAGGGACATTATGGGGGTTCTGAACAGATACGTTTTGAGCAGGCCTTGTCACAGTTGGAGCTTTTGGACATTGTGCTATAGACTGGAAAGTTGAAGATAGGAATAATCCTTATATAAGTATAAGCCCTTAGTTTTTGAAATAAAAAGTGAGTAAAGTAGGCAAGACAGCAGGTGTGGGGTGATATTATGTAACAGAATTATATTAGCATGTCATGTCACACAATAAATGAACACACACCAATATCTAAATATATACAGACTGTGGTAACATGCAATAGTGGTAGAGGAATCCATGTGTTGAACAGAACCAGTATTTCTAAGAAAGTTCATTATCACTTCTGTTATATATAAGAAAGGACACATATCATGCAATATTGCCTAATCAAGAAATCTACATATTACTTTGAAACAATAGCGTGGGATATTGTTTACAGTGATTTGAATGGAATACCAGACTTGTGATGTTGTAATTGACAACTGAATACATATTAGGAATAATACAATAGAGTGACTGACTTATATGATATCTACACATGTTGCAAAGCTTTGAAGGCTTACAAATGAGATATATATAGAATTCTATTTGAGATAATTTGCAGAATTTCTAGAGAAGCAATTGGAGCATCGTTATCAGAACAGTAAAAACGTGGGGCCAATCAAACAAGACACAGTTGTAGTTTGGAAACTTGTGTGACAATCAGACGTAAAATGTTTCCTTCTTGTTGGTTACAGATGCAGCACCCAATACAGATGAAACCCGCAGATAGTGAGAAGAAAAATGGTAAGTTTCATTATTATGTCATCATCTACCCTTTGAAAGAGTCCTCATTTTATACTCTTACTTATGTAACTGATAACCCTTGGAACTGCAGAGCCAATCGAAGCCTACCATCTTTCAAAGCAGTTCTCTTTCCTCTGTAACATTTATATGGTTCTCCAGAGCTCTCTGATTGGTTGAATTCTAAACTGTGAAATGATTGATCTTATTCAGAGGGAAGTATAATATAAAATGAGCTCAGGGTGAATATTCTCAAGACATAGATCAATCTTTTTTCTCTTTTGTTATTCCCTATTAGGCATTTGCTTTACTAGTATGGAATAGAATAGAGTGAGGGAAGGGGAGTAAAACTACCATTATTCTTACATCTCCTGTAATCTAAAAAATATAGATATTTAGAAGCTAGTATAAAACAGTAGCCTGCTCTCCTTCAAGATACATCCCCAACTATGGAATAGAAGAGTTAAACACGAAAAGGTCAACATAAAATTGGAAAATATCATTTTAATATTTACATAAAATGTTTTGATTTTGAACAATGTAATTGATTTGTCTTTGACCTACATGACTGGTTCTAGCCAGGATAAAGATACCAGTTCTTCAACTTGACAATGGGAAGAACTGCTCTACCTTAGTGACTAATATGTCATGATATGACATCTAAAGAGTCAATAAAAGATATATAATAGTCTACCATATCATCTAGATATCCAAATGAATTTTCAAATATTACCTATTTCATAATTATCATGAAAATTACAAATGAATTTTCATCATGCATATCACCTTTAATATGGTTTTCTTTGAGAAACATTCACAAGTGGAAGGTTGTCATGCATGAGTTTTATTACCTAAAGTAAAGGCAGTAATACTGTTATCAGTAACTTCAAACAAACATTACACTACAATTTTGAGAATGCCAACATTTCGACAGTTCCTGATATTTTGGATTGAATGTATAAGTGAAAATGCTAAGATGACCTTTAGAGTTTTTGTGGAAATTGCTACTTGAGGTTATGATATAACATTATCAGGAAAAACAGTTTTAGAAAGGTGATGTTTGTAATAGAAATGGTTAAACCACTGGTTATTGAATTACTAACAAGTATATACATGTAGCTTTATTTAAACCATTATCATTAGAAGGGGGTAAAGTAGGAAATACTGATTTAATTTTGGAAAAATTAACCTCTTGAAGTTGTGACACCTTTTGTTTGTAAATTGAACTTGATACATGTTAAACACATTTTTTTCATTTCATAGTATATTTTCACCAATTTAAGAGATTGTGTTTTTGGGGGTAACTACTACTACTTTTGTGGTAATAGTACCTAACATTTACAGTTGTGGCATTTCTTGTTTATTTGTTTATTTTAACATGAAATACTAAATGCTAAACTCTCTGGGAATATTCAAGGTACAGTTAAAACTCCTTCCTACATCACCTTCACATGCATGATAGTTTTACATGTGTCACATTGGTGTGAATTTTTGTTATGTTTTTTATTAATAAGTTGTTAAATGATTTGTTTGTTCTATTTGCAGAAGAAAGAAAATTATTTATAGGAATGTTATCTAAAAAGTGTACAGAAAATGACGTCCGTATGATGTTTGCTCCATTTGGTAGCATAGAGGAATGTACAGTATTACGTGAACAGAACAGTCAAAGCAGAGGTATGAATATGAAATATGTCAAGTTTGAACTTTAAATTATTAAGTTGCTCCAGTGTTTCATATTGGCAGTAGTCTTGCTTCAAGCCCTTGTAACTCCCTCATATAACCACCCTCTGGATGTGAGGCTAATATGGGGAGGGGGAAGGGGAAGGGGGAAGGGGAAAGGGGAAGGGGGAGTTCCAGGGATTTGATGCAAGACTATTGGTAATAACAGCAAGATAATCGATTGGAATTTAAATGCAATTGTTGCTTTTGTTATCTATTGATGAAGATTTAATTGAATTTGTTGTTAAGATGCGGGAATCTCTGTAATTATATTTGTGCAAATGGCAATAGTCTCAATGAGTACAAGTATTTTTTATAGCTCTATGCGAAACTTAGGCTTTGATATGATATCTAGTATAGCCATGCTTTATGATTCTAAATACATTATAACTAAATGTATACTAGAAAATTAAAGGAATTATAATTATGCTTTTATGTTTTAGGCTGTGCCTTTGTAACATATTCAAGTCGGCAGTGTGCCCAGAATGCTATAAAAGCCATGCACCATTCACAAACTATGGAAGTAAGTAGAATATCATTTATTGATTTGAAAAGAGGGTATTGAGGTATCTAAATAGGGTAAAACATGCAAGTTGAACACCTCTTTAAGTAGAAAACCTCCATAAGTGGAACACTTCAATTGTCTTTTACCCATAGTTATTATTAGTGTTTAATGAACCTCTGCAAGTGGAATGCCTCTTAAACACTATTTTGAGGTGCCAAAGGTGTTCCACTGACACAGGTTTTACTGTTATGATTCCTGGCTAAAATATACCCTGAGCCCAGAGCCTGTACACGAAGCTCTCTTTTAAGTGAAAACAACCTATTGAAAAGGGTAGGCTAAATTGAATATATAGCATCTAAAAAGCTCAGAATTTCTTTTTCATTTACTGTGTGTACTAAATAGGAAAAATGTAACAAACTAATTAATAAGAAAGTAAAGTAAGACAACCTTAAAGTTATGATTGAGTCTATCTGTATCATCCTCAGAAACCCTAGAGTCGATTTGACAATGGACTTAGAGATTAAAGCGCCTACGCGAATCAATACTTCAATCCCTAATCCAGCTAAACAAGACCAGCTAATTCCTATGAATCCGTATCCCCCAGACAAGGTCGGAAAGGGCCGATTCATCAGGATTTAGTTGCCTTCCAAATATTTAAAGATTATCTTGTCATCTCTCTATAGATGTAGGCTAAGTATGTCCAGAATGAACTGGTATTGTGAAAAAAGTATAGCAACTGTGATAGTTGCAATTGGATTTCTAGGAGACAAATACATGTACAGCAAATATACAAAAATAGAGACAATAGTTATCTTGTCTTGTTTAGTTAACGTTGAATAATTTCTGTAGAAATGATTATGATTTCAGTATTATTAGTTTTTGAGGTAGGCTTAAGAAGATCATCAATTAAATAAGAATGTCAGATTCTAGATTAATACAATGTGATAAAGCTATTTGTTTGAGCTCTCATTATGAGGCTTATTCTTTTTTCGTTCTTTCTATTGAAAATTATTTTGCTTGATTAGGAAAGTTCATGAGATATACCAAAATATTCAATATTCATCAATAAATTGATTTATTAATTTATTGTATAAAATTTATATCTTCAGATGATGCTTTTGCAGAAAAAAAACATCTGTTTGAATTAATAATATATATTTGAGCATACCACATGTATTATATTAAGGCAAAAATAATTAAGAAAATATTCATCAAAAGTGTTAATTGGAAAACAGATAAATGAAGGAAATAGGGCACTGGGCCCTGCCAAGAAGTTCTCTTTATTTTACTCAATTCTCTGCAAAATGTCAATAACTGCCTGATTCTCTAACATTTCTTTACTATTTTGACTCTTGACAACATGACTGAATGTTCATTTTTTTGTTAATCTCATGAAATTCTCTTGTTTTGTGATTAAAACATGATAATATTATGAATGTTTTCTCGTGGGATGTGCTAATAGAAAAGAGAAAAATAACATAATTGACTGTTCTCAGTTAATTGTGTTAATATGTACAGAAAGATATTAGCAAATTGAGGACATATTATTCTAGTGACATGATTTCTCATTTCTACAGTCATCACAACATAATCTGCATTTTACATTCATAACTTTATAACATTTGAACATAAATACTTATATTATTCATTTTACTACATTTTCTAGTTATATTATCGGGATATTATTTGTATTAAAACTCTGTACCTCTTACTCAGTAAGAGAGAAGGGGTTAGGGGGTAGAGTGTCTTGTTGCATATAAGCATTAGATAAAGGGGGAATAACTGTTACATTTGACACTTTTGCAGAAAAATTGGACATCATTTGCAGTTTGTTACAAGGGTTTCAGATTAACTCTTCATCTACTAATCTTGTCTTTTACTCTTTGATTGCAGGGGTGCCGAGCGCCATTAGTAGTAAAATTCGCAGATACCCAAAAAGAAAAAGATTTTAAAAAGGTTCAACAAATGAATGCAAGCATCATAAACACTGCTGGGTTAGCAGGCTTAGCAGGGGGTGGGGGAGTTAGTCCACAATATCTAGCAGTAAGTATAAATAAAATAGTGCAATATCGCAGTAACTATAAAGATATTACAATATCTCGCTATACTTATACAATAACATATTACAATACCATGCAGTAAGTATACAATTATATCTTACAATAAGACATTAGTATACTATAACATATTATAATAGCATGCAGTAAGTATACAACAATATTTTACATGAATATACAATAACATATATCACAAAGTTTACAATGTCAATTCTTCAATTGCCTTCAAGAAAAATAAACTTTCTCTTTTTTTTACTATTTCAGTTACTTCAACAAGCAGCTTCGGGTGGAAATGTCAATGCATTCGGTAACCTTGCCAACCAACCAGGTTAGTCGCCATCTATACATGATGTATCTAGATCAATCATATAATACATTTTCTGAAATACAGGGTGTTGTACACATATTTGGACACCCTGTATTTTTTGCAGTGCTAAGGCCATCTCTGTGTTATGGGAAAAATATTCTGTGAGTAAATCATTCACGATCAGTTTTATTTTTAAACATAATATATTTATCACTTGAAAGGTCTCAAATCTTCAAATGAATTTGAAGTCTATCAGATTTTAGAAATATGAATTTTTTTCTACACAACCAGTAATGGCCAGGTCATCTTGCATATATGTGTGTCTATCCTCATCGATCTATTAGTTAACAAGATGTCACAATATTATGATGAATTCTCAAATTTTTCAAAGAAAAAGGTGGTGGAAATAGAAACAAGAAATAAGTCTGTAATGTTTGTCTTATCTTAGAAATGTTTGTTTGTACAATGAAAAGTAAATGCCTTTCATAGGAGACTCAATGTGCAATTGTAATTTTAAATTCAGAAAATTCTTCAAAAATTAATTGATAAACAAAATATTAAAGCAATTAAAATCAATCTGGGGAAGTACATTTATTATGAGGACCAGTCAAAAAGTTATGCACAATTGTGCAGAATCAATCAATTCTCCTGTGAAAGGCTGGCAAATTACAAATAAAATCATGTATAATTGTAGTAGATAACAAAATATGTGCTAATACGCTAGTTCTTGTATTCATTAGTAAAACGTTCTTATGTGAACATTATTCTCGTAGTTTTCACATTTTAAGGGGTTTTCACATTTTAAGGGGTAGAATGTTTTGCTAAAATTATTGGAATTTGGGTTCTAGGCTTGTAGCCAGCTTTTGCTAAGGGATTCACTTTTCAAAAAAATCCAGGGATTCACATTTGACAACTTTGACCCAAAATCATTTGAAAAGTTCTCAAAATGGTGAAAAACAGCATGATTTTGAAAAAACTTTTTGGCGCTGACCCCTCCCCGGCTCAAGTCTGGGTTTGGCATAAATATTATTCAGGTGTTCACATGATCTGGTTTTACTGAACCTGTAGCTAGCTATATACATGTTAATATATTTTTTGTTGCTGTGCATAGCCTGTAGTATTGCAAAAGCATTACAGTAAACTATAGACTACTTATCCACAGTCCCATGCATTGCTCCAGGTTATGGCTCAAATTAACCCTTGCTAGACTTAACACAAATAGCTTTATTTGTATCATTGAGGTTCTTTTTAGGAATTCTCAGAGAAGCCTTTATGTATAGAGAATATCATTGAAACTTATAAATCTTCCATCCTTTGTAGACTAAAATATTTTAGAAACTATTTAATGCTTAATTTGTGTATTAACCTCATACTTTCACTTCTAGATAACTGATTCAACATAGTTTAATCCTAAATAAATACACTAGTTTGCAAATGTATCAGAGAACACAATTCATAAAATTTAACTGATTCATGATTTTACCATGATGTCATTATTAACTCTTTTTGTCCTGATGGATGGTCAACAGTATATAGCAAGAGAACAATAGTAGCTGTTTTGTGATATATTCTTTAATCAGAATTGTGAAATTCAGCTAAGTTCTGGCAAAATCATGAGACAATTGTGAAATTTAAGAATTGTAACTGATATTATTTTGAGATAAGGCCTCTTCTATTAACCCTTTCCTGTCCAATGTAATCTAATTGGAGCTCTGGTTATTGTAGGAATTAATGCCCTTGCCCTCAAAGCCAATGCAATCATTAACCTTTTCCCCGTCCTTTGTAATCTGATGGGAGTTCTGGTTATTATAGGAATTAATGCCCTTGCCCGCAAGGCCAATGCAACTATTAACTCTGTGTAATCTTATGGGAATTCTGGTTATTGTAGGAATTAATCTCTTGCCCCCCAAGCCCATGCATCCATTAACCCTTTCCTGCCCAGTGTAATCTAATGGGAGTTCTGGTTATTGTAGGAATTAATCTCATGCCCCCCAAGCCCATGCATCCATTAACCCTTTCTGTCCAATGTAATCTAATGGGAGCTCTGGTTATTGTAGGAATTAATGCCCTTGCCATCCAAGCCCCTTTCTGTCCAGTGTAATCTAATGGGAGCTCTGGTTATTGTAGGAATTAATGCCCTTGCCATCCAAGCCCATGCATCTGTTAACCCCTTTCTGTCCAGTGTAATCTAATGGGAGCTCTGGTTATTGTAGGAATTAATGCCCTTGCCCTCCAGCAGCTTATCACAGCAGCAGCTGCCTCTGTAGCAGCTGGCAGCAACCCAGGTAAGTAGCTGCATTACTCCTTTGTAGTGATACTACACTATTGTAAGCAGCTGCAGTATACCTGTATAGCTGCACTACACGAGTGTATGTATATAGCTGCATTTCACCCTTCAAGCTGTATTACAATATTGTATGTAGCTGAAATAAACCCATATAGCTGTTGTACACTGGTGTATACAGCTGCATTACACTCTTCTACAGCTGCATTCACTATTGTAAATAACTGTTTTATAATAGTATAGCTGCACTACACTAGTGTAAGTAGCTGCATCAACTCTTGTAGCTGTATGACACCTGTGTAGATAGCTGCAATACACCCTCCTACATGTAGATATATACACTATTGTAAGTTGCTGTATTACACCCTTGTAACTGTCATACTATTGTCAAAGCTCCATTACACTACTGTAGCATAGCTGCATTACACTTTTTCACTATTGTAAGTAGCTACACCAATGGTATGTTTATTACTGCATTTTCCTGCTATTTCTTCTATCCTAGTAGCTGCATTTTAGTAGTCTAAGTAGCTACATTGCCCATTATGTATGCAAGTAACCCTAATGTAATAAGCTGCATTACCTCATATATTTGTAATTCAATACAGCTACATTACATTTTGTAAAAAGCTGCATTACAGTTCAACTCATAACTAACCCTACATTTCAACAGTTCAACTGAAATCCCTTACTCAGCATTTCATATTTTTTTGCGAATAACAACTCTTGTTTCAATACTTGACTCAAGCAAACACTTGATTCGTGTGTGTACTCTGAGGAATTTCATTGATTCCTTGTTGATTCCTTGGTATCTTAGACCAATTAAAAAATTGTACTTGAAACCAAGAAAAATCTATAGTTTCCTGCCCAAAAAGTGGAAAAGATTGGCATTTCTACAGATTGATGAAATTATATTTTTCTTATCTAGTTCTTTTAGTGTTTACTGAACTTTAATTAGTTGCGATACCATATAAATATAATACGCACATTTAAAGGCGTAACATTGTTATTATGGGGTTAGTTGTGACATGTACTGTATATTATTGTCAGTATCCACCCACATGTGACCAAGCTTTACACATTGTATTATAATCAAACATCTGTCTCACAGTGATGCAATTTCTAGTATTTTCATTTCTATTTTTATCAGTTTCATTTTTAGTTGTATAATTAATATTTTTTATTTTATTATTTATATATTTTTTGTTTATATTTATTTGTGGCTGTATTGTTTGAGGCTTCTAGTTGAAGCTTATATATCATACATGTAAAAACATTGCCTTATGGTTGGTGTTTGTGTATTTATTATTTATGTTTTGATGTGATATCTGAAACTGTGTGTTTATCAATGTTCGTCTATATCATTTAATATTTCAGACATTTATTTCATATATTTTATGATCAGATATATATTGGCTTTTCTTTAATAAAAGATGCATACTTTTTTCCTTTTTAAAGCTTATTTCAAGCTTGCCTGTCATATAAATTTGCCAAATTGCCAATATTTATATATTTTTGCTACATGGCTTTTTCCGTGAATTTTATCAAAATTGACAAACCCTTGCCTCTGCTATTGTAATAGCACATTAGAAACCATGTATAATTTAGTTCCATCCATGTGCCTTGAGCTTCTTGATGATCCATACATCCAAACATCGATCATTCATGCCTCTTTGCATTATTTCTCGCACTTCTCTAGGTATCGCAGCTGCACTAGGAAATCTACTCGGCCTGAGTAACACAAACAGCTCTAATGGCGGGAATGGCACGGCGGCGCCACCTACTAGTAATGGTTCAGGTACATGGCTGCCTGCGTAGATCATATATAAACTGTATATTTATATACCATTAATCATATGACAATCTGTTTGGATGAGATTTAATAATTATTTATAAACACATATTCATTACAAGTTGTAAAATCTAAAAATTCATATCCAACAAACATTGTTAAACTCAAATCAAGTCAAAATGTAATGCTGATATTAATTATTGAAAACCTTGAAATGTGGAAATGTTATAATATAAGATCATTCATAATCATGTTTAATTATTTGATTCATTAAATATAAAGTGTAAAATTGAAAACTGTAACATACAATACATAGTCAAACAATAGAAAACATGGTTTAGAATGTCTAATGTTCATAATGATGTTGATTTATTTGAAAAAATGATATAATTTATTGTACGATTGTTATATAAAAAAGCACCTGTTGTCTGGCATAAGCGTTATATTAAACCATTAAGTTTATTTATTTGAACAACTATTGGTTAATGTCAAACACATGTTTCATTTTATTGAATGCTAAATAATGAAAAGGATATATATGTTTGTACATATGAGTTCAGGTTAATGCTTCTAATTCACATTTATGAGTACTTCGGTTAAAAACATTTGAAAATGCAAAGAAGAAAGTTTCAAATCTTTTTTATCAATTTTCAAGAATTTGCTAGAGTACAGTGTTATAATATCAGTCAACATAATCATATTTTAACTCTTCTGTTTTTCTCATCCAAATAGATTGTTTCTGCATGCATGGATTGTTGATTCAGTAAATATACAAAAGAACATGATGTTTCTTTGAAATATTTCTCCATCATTTATTTGTCCCATATCTTATCTACCAAATACCCTTTGTGTCCCACAACTTTCCTTCCCCTCTTTGTAGGCACAGGTTCTTTAAATTCTGGAAATGAGAAGAAATAAAAGTCTTAGAAATGTCCCAGTGAGCTCTTTTAAAAATGAAACTTTTGTTCAAAATTATGTAATTTACAAATTGATACACCTGATGATTCAACATGTTCTATTTGTGTATGTTTATTGAATTAATGATTTAATTGTTTGTCTTTATGATGTCTGTTTCAAGTTAAATGTGGATGAAATAAATGTGAAGTTTATGTATTAATGGGTGGGATGTTGTTAATGTTGAAACAACAGCTTTATTTTAGTATTTGAAGAATTATTTTTAAATTGAATTTGAATTCACATGTATTGAAATTGCCATTTGTGTTTGTACATTGTTCTCTGTTTGTGTGTTCTTCATGTGTGTGGACTTTGCTTAATTGCGCTTTATACATTGCCGTAACTTTGCTTTAGTTAGCGTATGATATAATAGTTTATGCAGCATAATCTTCCAGTGTAGCTTAAAATGAATGATGATGGCATTTGTACAAAATTCGATTATCGTAGAAGATTAAAAGATTAATTACTAGAAGATACTAGAAGATTAATTTCAAAAATATGATTTTTTATAATAATACACTCTGAATTACAAAGCGCTACTACTCTCCAATCGTACAAAACAAGAAATTTTGTCTAGTAACATGATCATTTTCGGATATTATCAAGAGACTGTTAAATCTTATTTGTCAGTCCTCGATGTTCAATTCACTTCAGTTATGTGTAGTGATGTTTTTGTTGAAGTAAGTTTGTGTGTCATACCATAAGTTTGTGTGTCATATTATAAGTTTAAGTGTCGTACAGTATAAGTTGGTGTGTCTTTGATGTTGTGATGTGTCCGTGTTATACTGTATGTGTCTCTAGTTATGACGCAAGCTGCCACTAATTCTGCCTGCTTTCATTGCTTTGTAGCCTACCAGATTGGCAAACATGGTTTTACTGCATCATAAGCATTCTGAAATGCAAAATATGAATTTTCGTTCAATTTATCTGGCCAAAATCGAGAAGTTAAATCTCTGATGAAATGTGTCTCGGATTTTTTAAGTCACGTTAATTTCATCACTTATTCAACTTCAGTATTTGAGATTTTCATGTTTTGCCTCATGAACAGTTTATGCAAATGACCTTTTTATTTGAAAGTCTGTTTTTGTTTTTTTCATTTAGACAGCATGACTTTTTGGTATATTTTGTGCCGTGTTGATTTTAGTAGACAAACACATGATTAAAACTGTTTATACCATCATTTAATTTTAGCATACTCATGTAGATGGGATGAAACAGCAAGTGGTGAAAAGGTCATATTGCATAACATTTAATAAGAACTTCATTATGCATCAAATTTAGTAGATGTTGCTTCAAGTTTCTTGAGCAGTTTTAGTATGATTCTGAAATACTATCAATCTTGATTTAATCATGGTTGATTCATATTAATGTCAAAATACTGATATATTTCTGATTGGTTACAGAAGCTGTTACTATGGTTACAGGTGACGTAGCGAGCTTACAAAATCTCCAGAACTTACAGAATCTTGCGGCCTTAGCGAATATCACAAACACTCCCGGTAGTGCCCCCTATAGCCCAGGTAAGGAATTAAATTATAATTCTGTTGTGCATTCTTGCTTTGATGTTTTTGTGTTAATGTTTTGTGTTTGAGTTTTGAGAATCTGTTGCTAACCTTTTTATGTTTTGTTAAGTTGTAAACATGTCTATAGTATAAGCTATGTGTCTTAAACAGGAGGTAGAAATCATAGGTTATTTTTGACAGTTTTATGTATAAGCACTGTTACTTTTGACGCTTCATGTTAGTATCAGTCAGTATTTTTATTTCCTTTTCATTTAGGATGTTAAGTGTTTGTAACCATTTTAGGGCACCTTGATGTCAGACCATTGGTTACCATAGTAACAAGCTGTTACTATGTATTTGTGTTTCTATTTAAGGTGGCCAGAGTTTAGTAAGTGTTCCAAGTCTCCCTTCCCAGTTTGCTGTTGCTGCTGCTAGTCCTACAACTGCTGCTGCCATGCCAACATCAGGTTAGCCCAGTTACCATAGCAACCATACTGGTTAATGTAGCATCCATACTGGTTTCCATAGAAACAGTAGTCTTTTACCATAGCAACATAGTGAAAAGTAGATTTTACGATTCCCAGGATGATTTCTGCCTCCTGGATAGTGTTTTGTACTTGTATGTGTAGATTTAAGGACCCTGTAAAAGATTGATGCTGAATATAAAAACTTTCTAAAACTTAAGAAAGGTTAACATTCAGCATGAACCTTTATGATATACCACAACACCCATGCATATAGCATATATACTTAATATATATTATTATATAGTATTAAGTAGTGTAATTGTTGCACTATAAATGTTTGGAAACCCATATTTAAGATACTTTCAAGATTATAATTTTGAGAAGTACACTCAAAGGAAAAATTATTGCTAGCTTTACTTTAATTCCTTGCTTTCTCAGTCAAGTCCACAACCCCAAGAAAACATGGTATTTTAATAACCCATAAATGGATGAAGGGATAACTCAAGCCATTTCTTGGTGCTTTGTGTTAGACTGTATTGTTATTATTATTATTGCTAGAGCCTGGGTTAAAATACAATGTTTTTTTCTTATAAAACCTAAGGTTGAGATTGTCATCTGTGTTTGTTTTATCATCTATCACCTAATATAACAATGATTCTATAACAAAATCTGACACATTGGTGTTTGACTGAACCCCTTGGCTTTTATTTAAGACGTAATTATATCACTGAACTTTGGGTATTGAGAGAAACTTTACATTTTGCTAATGAATTATAAAAAATTGTAATTGGCAAATCATAAGTGTCCCTCTGACTGTACTTCAATGAGAAAAATGCTGAGAGGGTCATGTTTTGAATTAAATCCCTGAATATAAAGAGTGGAATCGGAAGCAAAAATGAAAAATGAAACAGACATACATGTATTAATGAGCTTGCTCCAAATTTATATATTTAAGCTATTGATTAAAATATGATGAGGGGGTGACACAAATTGTGTATATTTCTGACTGTGAAAAAACACATCCATAAGAACAGATTGAAAATCAGTAACTTCAATTGAGTTTTCGAGTTGTTTAATGGAATGGAATAGACATGATTATAGAGTAATATTCAGCATGGTTCTCTAATCTAGATGATACTATAATACTGGCTAAATGTCACATTATAATTCCAGGTAGCACATCCGTGTCCCCTAGCACAGGTGGGCAATTCTTCCACTAGGTGGAGCTGCACTTTAAAGTGAAGCTTCACCTTCATGTGGAGCTTTATCTAGAAATGTTGAGCTTTTCATTTGGAGCTTTATCTTATTGTTGAGCTTTAACACAAGTGAAGTCTTGCCTAAGGGTCCTTGAATTAATGGCTTTACCTTGATTTGAGAGTTTTATCTCGAAGTAGAGCCTCTTCATGTTAGAGCTTTACCCTGAAGTGTAGCTTTAACTTGTGTTAAAACTTTATCTTGAAGTGGAGTGTTACATAATTTTGGAGCTTTACCTTGGAATTGAGCTTTGGCTTTATTTTATTGCGTCTAATCTTGTTATTTTGGGCTTCACTGAATAAGCTTTTGCTTTCAACAACACACTTTTCTTTGTTGACACTATCACCTTTAAGATTTCAAACATGAAAGTCATCCACAATGCATATTTAAAAAGTGTGTAATTATGGAGAAAATAATGTTTTATTTTGATTTTTCCATGCTATGGTGCATGCTTACTACTTCAAAGGTATAAATGAAATACTGTATGCAGGGTTTAGTTGGTGTATATAAGTTTTTTTATCTTTATGAATCACTACAACAGATCTCTCTGTCCATCTCAGATTTATTTCCACTCAGTCATAACTCATCATTTGTAGTAACATAATATCCTCTGTTAGTTTTGGGCTGGAATTTGTTCTGCCTTATTTTCGATAATTATGGCACATCTTTGAAAGTGTATACTGCTTGGTTGGCTTTGGAATTCTGAGCTTGATTTCAATGGTTTGCAGGTCTTGTTAATCACTTAACTAAATGCGTGCATCAGTTGATTTAGATTTTGGGCACTTTGATAAGCAATTGTGCGTTGAAGCTAATTATCAACTACATGTACATATTACCTGGTGAATGGATCTACTATTTAGTTTTGAAAATAGTGAGAAATTCTTGATTTATCTTCACGTAGATATTAGTATTTGATTGCATTTATTATTATGTCAACACCAGAAATGGTGACATATTGTTATAGTCTCCAACTTTTTTATGGAGAGTGTGGCACTTGGGATTGGTAACAGCATTTGGTTGTCCGTGTCTGTAACAAATGGCAGGTGGTGACATTTTGCATGTTAATGCCTTGTATTATAAATGTCATCAAATCACAAGAGCACAAACTAAAAATAATTATTAGGCTTATAGGTAGTAAAAGTAACCAGGTTTAATGTATTTGATTGGTAATTCGGTCAAAATGCAATTTCTTTGATTGTAGGCTTGTTGTCCTACAAGAAATACTTTTGCTTTGGGGATCTATTTGAGATCAGATCCATATATTTGTTTTACCTTTTTAAGCTGATACCTCATGTCTTGAGGTCTCGCTCACTATACCCAACACAGAAATGGGATTTTTTGAGGGCCCATTTACTTTATTTCTGTAGATCCCCTGCTATGATGAGTAATCTTAAGACATGTTGCTTTTATACCTAATGTGCTATTAATATAAAAATCAAATATATTTGCTTTTTTAACAAGCTGCACTAATAGGAAAACAACAAGGCCTATTTAATGGTGAGACATGTTAGAATAGTCGCTTAATTCAAACGCAATTCAAGAGTGGTTGCTTAACTCGAACCCATTGCAAAACATGTGCAAACAGATAGATTCAAAAACGATATGAATTTGAACCTATCGTTTGCCAGAGCAATCTGCTTGACACATGTGTGCATTATTGATCGCACCAGCATATGTTATGTACATGCATATTACAATTTTATCTGCCTTTGCTTGCTTGTATCACCCATTTAACTGTATGTCTAATGTTTCAATATTTAACTGAATACACTGTTCATATATTGGAAATGAAAGAATATTAAATATGAAGAAAACTAAAGAAGAGCATTTAGAATTTTTTTTAAATTATTATTTTTATGTCATCACCACAAGTTTTGATATATTGTTCTAGTCTCCAACCTCTTTACTGATAGCGTTCGGCATTTAGCATTTGGCAGTCAGTGTCTGTAACAAATGGCAAGTGGTGACATTTAGCATGTTAATGCCTTGTTTAAACTTGATATTAAAAGCCCTATTCTTTTTTATAGTCCTTTACTTTCATTTTTATGCCTGAAATAATTCAGAATTGTAATATTTGTTCATTATTTTACAGGTAGCATGGCAGGTACGAATACCACGAACAGTACATTCAATGGTCTTGCCCAATTAAATGGTAACAGCAGTCTCACAGGCATGAATGGTATAGGGGGCGCCACCACATCTCAAACGGGGATGGAGGCTCTATATTCGGGAATTCAGCAATACGCAGGTTTGTCCGGTATTTTGTCACAAGGTAAAATTCCCATATTATCGTCACCCTAGATTATTTTGTGTTTGCGGATGTTTGCCGTTGAACCCTGTTGTTAAGTTTACTGGCCCAAACCCCTTAAAACTAAATCCTTTGAAATACCATATTCTTCTATCTAAAGCTTTGTATCAATTGCCACTTGATATTCCATCTACAAATCCAATTCTCTATGGCTGAAATTTCTGGAAAATATTATGAATCACAATTTGTGAAATTGAGCTGTCGCCGAGTAACATCATGAATGACAGTTGAATTTTGGGAATTGTAATCTGGTATGATACTTCTTGGAATAATCCACATAATAAGAAGATTGAGGGGCAAAATATGAACAGTATTGTGTCTGTCTGAATTGTGCCAGTAAACTAGAGTTTTATGTTCCACACTTGTGATGTGTTTATAGTTATTTCGTGCCCCATACACTCAGATGTGACACATTTATATCCTACAGCTGAGAACAGCTGCTATATACAGGGTGGGCCAAAAAAACGACCCTTTTTTTTCAAAATGCTATAACTTTTTTAATTTTTGAGACAAATTCATAATTTGCATACCAAATGAAACTTGAGGTTGTTATCTAGCCATGGATCATGAATTATAAACCTTTACTTGAATAAAATATGTCACCAGTGTCTCACTTAAACATGTGGTGTGCCATGAGAAATAAGCATAATTTGCAAAATGTTCCTGAACTGATACAGCCTGATGATCACCAAGCTGATAGCCCTGATGCAAACCCCAGTGAATATAGGGTATGGAAAGGTTTCCAGGAGATTGAATGAAGGCATCCAATCTAGAAAATTGCTCAACTAAAGCTGGCAATTAAGACAGGTTGAAAAAAACTTAGCTAACATTTCATTGATACTGCTATATCAGCAAGGCGACTAAAACTAAAATATATCATCAAATAGGGTGACGGACCAATTGAACTCCTCTTTTAGATGAAATATAATCCAAGTTGAAGGACTTTTTACCTTATATTATTACTAAGAACCCCTGGCACTATATAACTGCAAAATTTGGGGTATGTAGGTTGGAAAATAAAAAAGTTGTAGTGTCTTGAAAAAAAAGTGGCGTTTTTTTGGCCCACCCTGTATTTAAAGGTAAGCTTAATTCTGATGAACTTGTTCCACAAAGTTGTTCTATCTTTGACACAGCAGTAACTTGTTTCCCACAGTTGCCATATGTTTCCCACAGCAGTGACATGTTTCATACAGCTGTGGCATATTTCACACAGCTGTGACATATTTCACAAACTTTAGGGTCCTTTGACATAATTATAAAAGTTCACCCAATGTGTTTTATGGTATCTGGGTAGATACCTCATTCACACCAAAATTTCACCCCTGGTCTTGAGTATCTCAATTGAAAAGTCCATTATGGTAACTGATTGGTTTAAAGCACACACTTGTTGCTGTAAACAACCACCATTCTGGTACATATTGTATATGATAAAGTAAATTAAGATGCCCTGGTTACGTGTTGGTGGCTTTTTGTGATATTCTGATAAAATTATTTTGTTATAATAACAAATATTTATGTATAATTATAAGCAATGCCAGAAGAGAGTTTTCCCTGGAAATGAACTGAATATTTTAACAATGGTTTATAGATATTCATAGATTATGTAACAAGTATGATGTATGAAATAATCGGTATATAAAAGCCATATGTTATTTATGTAATTTACCAGTTCATGTTTAGGGAAGCTCTTGTTATTACTTAATAACAAACCCCAGCACATTGTGATAGTTGTAATGTTGACTGATGTTAGTTGTTCTAAAATCTTAATAACCGATTGGTATATTTTGGTGGGGAATGCCTCATGGTGTTTTAGATTGTAAGATTCAGTATGGATGTCAAGTTTTAGAGTGAGAGTGATCATCGATGCATGGTGTGTATCATTGATGCATTTTATGTATTATTGATGCATGTTATGTATCATCGATGCATTGTTTGTATCATTGATGCATGGTTTGTATCATTGATGCATGGTATATGTATCTTTGATTCATGGTTTGTATCAGTGGTGAACCATGATTTGTATCATTGATGCATGATTTGTATCATTGATGCATTGTATGTATCTTTGATTCATGGTTTGTATCATTGATGCATGGTTTGTATCAATGAACCATGGTGTGTATCATTGATGCATGCTTTGTATCATTGATGCATAGTTTGTATCATTGATGCATGGTATATGTAATCATTGATGCATGGTTTGTATCAGTGAACCATGGTTTGTATCATTGATGCATGATTTGTATCATTGATGCATGCTTTGTATCATTGATGCATGGCAAATATCATTGATGCATGGTGTGTTGAAAAGTAGTTGTAACCCTACTAACTCCCACATCTAGATGTAACACATCCCACATATTTTACATATACTGTTGTATAAATATTTCTAATGTTTTCTACTTGAACTATGTGAAGATTTGTATTGATTCTGAGGTGCAGTCTTGCTCACAGGCCTGAGAAATAGCTCACTTTAAGCTGATATTTTATATAATTTTGGGACTGTGGTGTAAACTGTCCATCTTGACAAACACGAGACTATTGAAATACAGTGTTCAATATTTCTATGCACATTTTTCTGTAAACTTACATGCTGTGTAAACATGTATATCTTAAAATGTGATGAAAATATTTTAATTCAATATTTAAGATATTTTAATGTAGAGTAGTAAATGAACTGAAAATTAAAATAGAATATTTTAGATTTAATTCGATTAATGTTCAAAGAAACATTTTTGAGAATATTCATTTGCAATTGGTTTCATCAGATATGTTAAATAAGACCAACTGACTTGATTATAACAGGCCTATTTCAAAAATGTAATGAGAGAGGGAGCATGTAGATCGTATACTTTATTATTTAACACAAGAAAAGACCAAAGTTGGCATTTTGACTCCTAATTGTGGTTTATGTTACAGCATTCACTAACCAAGCAGCCGCAGCACAGTTTCAACAAGCTAATGCTACAGACACTCCTGCTGGAAAACAAACGGAAGGTAAATATCAACAATTTAAATGACTCATGTTTGAGAATTATACAGCGAGGCAGGCCCATAGCCAGGGGGGTTCGCAGGGTTTGGGCGAAAATTCTTTCAAAATCATGCAGTTTTTCACCATTTTGAGCACTTCTCAAGTGATTTCAGCCATATTTGGGCCAAAATTGTCAAATGTGAACCCCCCCTGGAAATTTTTGAAAACTGAACCCCCCCTTGGCAAATATTTGGGCCAAAATTGTCAAATGTGAACCCCCCCTGGAAATTTTTGAAAACTGAACCCCCCCCCCCCCCTTGGCAAATCCTGGCTACGGGCCTGTGAGGTCAACAAGGAATGGAGGAAGGAAACAGATATGCAGTGAAAGATTATAATTGAAGAGATGGTAGTTCAATGTTCTTTCACTTTCTTGATAAGCAAAATGTGGAATAGGCTTGAGTGCTTTCATGAGGGTATATCACACAGTTGTCATTGCTTCAACAATACTGTGTTGATATTTCTTGCTTCTTAGTTTTCTTTTCTCATCCCTATATATACATGTAAATACTCTGATTATCATTATTATTAGATATTGTAATATATAGATGTACCAATAAGACAACAATAAAGTACTATATGGATTTAGAAATTCAAGCTCTATAGTCTAAATCAGACTTAAACAATTTATTGTATTATTTCTAGGTCCAGAGGGTGCAAATCTTTTCATCTACCACCTCCCCCAAGAATTCAGTGACCATGACCTGATGCAAACCTTCCTGCCCTTCGGCAATGTGATCTCTTCTAAAGTCTTCATTGACAAACAGACAAATCTCAGCAAATGTTTTGGTTAGTACATTATATAGAAACAATCAGTTTGGTACCAGGGGTATTGTAATAAATTAGTATAGAACAGAAGTCCATGATGAAGATGGCACTTGATGAGCCAAAAGAGCATCTCATGTTTTGAATTCAATAATATTATATCATACATACAAATATATAATATTTAAAGAATAATAAAATGTTTTTTGGGGGAATACTAAAGATTTCATAATGAACTATGTTAAAATTATGTCTGAAACCCCTTGATGTCATTCAGCGCTAATTTCTTATTAGCTATTGAAACCATACCATGACAGTTTATGGTTATACATCCCATAATATTATATTTGTTGTTAGGTTTTGCCAGTTATGATAACCCAATGTCTGCCCAGGCAGCTATCCAGGCCATGAATGGCTTCCAGATTGGTATGAAGAGACTCAAAGTGCAACTCAAACGTCCCAAGAATGATAAACCCTATTAGGAGGGTTCTAAAAGGTTGGTGTCTCAAAATGATAGATTTATAAAGGTTGGTGTCTCAGAATGATAGTTTCACATAGAAAATGACTAAATGCTCCAATTTGACATTTTGAAGTATTGGCAATATCAAATGCAATGCATTTGTTCCCTCAAAAAGATCCGAGTGAACAGTAAAACCTGTGTTGTTTGAACACTTCTGTGATTTGTGATAAGTCTTCACACTGATAAGTCTTCACATTGAAAGAACTCTGCATTTGATAACATTGAAGTCCTTGTGAAATAAATGAAACAAATAAAGTGTTCACATATCAGGGTTCACTTTTAGAGAGATGTTCCCATACACAGGTTTTCCTGTATTGTTTTACCATAGTAGAGTTTGGTGAAATACCCCCCTCCCTTTGTTTCCAAGCTTCTCAGCTTTGTCCTTAGCTCTTACCAATGCTTCAATATGTCTCATGTAAACTCAGGTAAGTTGGAAAAATGCAACAAATAGAATAACATTATGAATCATATATATCCACTGCTGGATAATGCACAGTATATGTGTAAAACTCTTCTGAAATCATATTCTGACGTTTAATTTTTTGAGAATGGACATGAGTTGGTTTTGACAAGATATTATTTCAGAAAGTGAAATGTAATTTTAAAAGTATACACGTCTTGTGGAAGCAGTTTAATTAAATGTTGTATACTGATTAATAATACCAAAAATAATTGAAAGAACCATATTATTACACATTGCTTTAAAATATGATATCACATGGTTCATTCGAGTTGAAATGATTATCAGTTATTTTTGGTACTTGATGCGGAGTGACAATTTTATGTGCTGCCTGGCTTAGTGTGCTTTCATAGTTTATGTGCTGTTTAATATATTTGTGTGCCGTGACATCACAATTCAACCTCCAATATTCTTTGACATCATAATATTATAAAAGTTTGATGTCAGCATTATAGACATTGTGATGTTGAATGTTAAAAGCAAACTGGTTTTCATATTTTGGTCATTTAGTATTGTAGTCTATTTGTTTATTTATTTATTTATTTATTTATTTATTTATTTATTTGTACTGTTGTTTTGCATGATTATTCAGTAGATATTTTCTACCTAGAGATCCTATTATTCCAAATGGATTATTCTTCCTATTCATAGTTTTATTACTTTTATTTATTGATTAAAATTTATTTATTTTTTATTTGAGATTAACATATAAATGGTTTTGGCATTTCTGGGTTATCTGGCAGTGGCCAATGTAGTATAGCCTTGTCTGCATGTTGAAGTGGTTCAAATGCTCAACTCAAGAATGAATCACCATACTATGGCAGAGATATGTAAAACTAGATTATATCATGATGTTTACACCAAGGATTGGGCCAAGCTGTTAATGATATAGGTGCGGGTGCTAAAATGATCAAATCAAATGGGTGATAATAAACTTAGCATCTCTGTGGCGGATGTTAAGGCCTCAAGTCATTAAATATGAATTTGCTTGTTTCTGTTGTTTTTTAATTTTGTTGTTTCATTTCATTATTTGTTTTTACTATTTATTTACTTTAAAATTGCTCTTTACAGATTCTATCCACATTTCTTAAAAATTTTGTTTATTTATGTTGAGGTACAAGCTGATGAAAACCAAAAAGTTTGTTTATAATGTTCAATGTTTATATGTATGTGATTTGTACTAGAAAGTACTTAACTAAATCAAGTATTTATTACTTTTATTGAAGAAATAAGAAAGAACTTCTAATGGAACTAAATCACAGTTTTTTCCATTTTAGTTTAAAAGATGTCACTGCTCATGTAATGATTATCAGTAATGTTAAATTCATTGTGTAAATATAACTTATTAAAGCCTCATGTGTTGCATATTACAGAAACCTTTCATGTCTTGCATATGTCATTCTAATTCATTCGTCCCCCTTGTGTCGAAATAGAAATATTAAAGTAGTCAAGGACTTACACACAGGCATACAGGGGATAAAAGGACAATCAATGTTTTTGAGATAATGGCGATATGATAATCATGGCCATTTCTATGTGGGTTTGATTTCCCCATGTTATGTGCTTCTTTGTCAGTTATTTGTATACCTTCTGAAAATCTTCTGAAAATTTGTAGAATTTATAAATAAACGTTTGTGATAAATTGCAGTCTTTTTATATAGCAAGAAAATAGGATGTATATTTATATAGCAAGAAAATAGAATAATTAGAAAGATTGATTCATATTGTAATATGCAACTTGTGAAGTCTATATTTAACAGAGCTCGTAATTAAAATACATTAACTTGCAAACATGAAGTCAATTCAAATGTGAACCATATGGTATAGCAAAGAAGAATACAATCAAGTACACCTAGGTCTAAGAAACATTTGATCCTTTCATTCATTTTCAGTGTCTAATTATGGAATAGGTCATGTTTTCTTTGGGCAGTGTACTATAGACTACATTTATAAAAACGAAGTCTTACTGTTGACTGAGAAATGTTTGGAGATTTGTGTTTTAATATTCAAGCTGTTAATTCCATGTAGTCAGCATATACTGACATGTTGCTTTGTCTTTTCTCTGGTAGATACACGTGGCGTAGCGTACCAGTTTGTCACCCATGTTACCGTGGTTACGTGCTGTCTTCGCTCTACATGTCCAGCTCCATCTCTCCGCATCACTCGCTGGTTGTCCTGTCGTAAGTGTATTCACGACTTCTCGTCCATTATACCCTCCCTTGCGTGACACCGTAGCATATTTTTATGACGTTTTACCCTCGGGTTTTTATATAAAAAGAGGGTTGTACAAAAACTGGTTGTTTGTTACTATATATACACGTGTCTATTAGAGTGTTCACAACATAGAGATACGGTGTCACGACGTGGGATGCTAGGTGGACATATAACACATTAGCTTCAAAAGCAAAATCAACTTATGTTATCCAACACAACACTTGACATTGAGATAAAGGAGAGAAAGCTACAATGTATCACTGATGGATAGTATCCTACCTTCTCACTTGTATATTACATGTTCGCCATACTTGAAAAGTATCAGTGTATCCAGAAGGAGGCGTGGTGTCCCAAGAGGCCTATAGGTGGCGGTTATCTAACGGTTATGATACGCACGAGACAGCAGTTCTCAACAACAATATGTACTGTATTATATTTCATCACAGTAGTGATATTATACTAAATTATTTTGGTTTCTGTTGTAAAATATGGTAGTGTGCTGTGAAGTTACATTTTAACGCAAAATTATGTTTTTCGTTTGTTTTTTATTATTATGACTTAGTGTTAATTTTTGGCCTATATATGTACGGTCAGTATATAGCAGATGTTTTATTTTGGGTTTATCTATGTTTCTCATTGAGGCAAATGAGGTGATCTTGAGGCAAATGAGGTGATCTTGAGGCAACTTGGGTGATCTTGAGGTTTGTAATACATATTATATCAGAAATAAATCTTGAATCAGCCACATTATAAATTGGCTGCTGCTCTTGATCTGTGCTAAAATACAGTGTAATTAGGCTACATTTTTTAAGATGTCACCCCTAGCGCCCTCTAATATCAGGGGCCCAACTAGTGATTTGAACTTTATACAGGGGGGGGGGGTCATATTGTATAAGAGACTCTTGGAATTCTTGTGAATCCCTCTCTCCTGACAAAGCTATGGTTACATCTTAATAGTGTTTTAACACTGCCAAACATCACTCATGTTCTGCTATGAAAAAATAGCTAAATGAGACATGAGTTTTGTGTTGGTTTCAAATGTAAGCTATTTGAAATACTCCTTCGCTACAGCAATTGGGTGTCAAGGTGTTGTTAATTTTGAAATAATTATTCAACAAGATATAAAAAAAAACTGGAATCTCAAAATATTAAATTCTAAATATAATTATTATTACTTGTTATAATTTATGTAGTTTATTTGAGAACCCTGAAGTGTTTAATCCCAGTGATAAATTTCAAACTTTCTACGCAAAATTCTCGAAAGTAGCTAACTCAGTTCACACTCATGTGCACAGTCCCAGGAAAATATGGCCAATAAGATAACTGGGGCATGTGAATTAAGGCATTGGCCAAGGCTTTGTGTAAGACTGAGTATTTGAATGAGTATCTAATTATTTAAGTTAACATACACATTGACATGCAATAAAAAAGTATTAAAGACATTGATCTACAGTACAGCATTGTACTCTTTTGTTTTATGGTGTCTTATTTATTTACATGTATTCGTTAATCTGTAGAATTAATGTATGTACACGTCATAAGTACTGTACAGTCTCGTGGACAGCCCCAAGATTTGGCTTTAATTGAGAGAATGTTTCATCTTATGTTCTTGGTGCTGTGTCCTGGACTGATTATGTAGAACGCCTGTCTCAAGAAGATTTCATATTAGAGATTATACAATGATTAATAAGATTATACAATGATTATTATATTAATTGTATGTATTGTAGTGTATGGTGACAATGCTCAAATGTCATGTTATCTTCATAGTGTAATTATACAAATTTTGCCCTAGCTGACATCCTTGGTGTCAGTTTGAGCTGACGTCCTTAGTGTCAGTTTAATGTGCATTGTATGCACGGCCAGTCTGGATTCTGTTTTCAACAAAATGGTTCAACGTTCCCCTAATAACCTTGATGTGAAAATTTGGAGATGGGAAGAGGGTCCAGGTAAGGGGGAGGGGATGGGCAATGGATGCTATTATATTGAAATATCATTCATTCTCTGTGTTCCAAGTCCAGTGATATAAACCAGTAAAATATTTTACAATTACATTTGATATTGAACTGTTTATACAACAGGGAAGTTGAAAGCACCTGCGATAAGCATTGGTTGGATTCTAGAGTGCCCCAGTATATGAATGCAGATATCCAGAAAATGATATGAAGTCATCTAGTTCAGAAAGAAAAATGTTGGTATCTTTTTGTGACCCTCAACAATAGTATGAGGTCATTCATTTTAGTTTAAGCAAAGGTCTAATTTTAGTATGACCTTGAGTTTTGTATAAATGTAGAAAGTTGGGCTTTAATATGTTAAAGGCTATATTTTAACATTATTAACTTACACTGTATAAAGAAGCGATTAGAAGATTATAATAATGGTGTGATAACTCATAGGAAGAATTAATTGAAAATTGTTTCATAAAAATGGATTCTCGAACTCTGAACTGTGGGGAACTTAAAATGGGAACATATTTTCTGTTTTTAATCAATATATTTTGAAATTGCAACCATGCCTTATCAGTTATCTTCCCTATCATTTGATTTCATATTTGATTTGTACAATTTCACTGACTTCAACTTTTCTTATTACCTTTACAGTATCAACTATCCTGTGATATATTACACAAGGGACCAAAATTAGATGAATGCCTAACTCAACTAGATTCCACAGTTAACAATGCTATTTATTGTTCATGTCACCATTACCCATGCTTTATAAATAAATCAAAATTTTCATTTTTATGTTATTGATTACAATTGTTAATTTTTCCATTAAATGTACTGATGTGATAAAAGTAAGCCATGACATTTTTGGTAATTTATTTGTCCCAAATCTTTTATATTTATTCTTTATTATCTGATGTGTCCCACTTTGACTTCCACACACAGTTCAGTAGTCAAAAACACCAAGAACTATAACATATAGAGGGCGCCAGGAACTATCACATGTATAGAGGGCGCCAAGAACTATAATAACATATAGAGGGCTTCACTTGTTTATTTGATGATTAGCTAGAAAGTACTGTAATAAGTATTTATATTTATTGCTATATAATTTATTAAAACTACAAGGTTGTGAATTACATCAGGAACAAAAGTAGTGATATCCCATAATCCTCTCTGAGGCTACCCTAGCAGACGATGGCACTTTTCATATGTTTTCATGAAATCTAGCAGAAATAGCCATGTTGTTTCATAGTGCTAGTGAAGAAATAGATTCATAGACGTGTCATATTCAAATAGTTTCATGGAAAATATGAAATCATTGCTTGTGGGAACTAATTTCCTTAAAAATAAATAATCAGCATACCAATACCAAGACCTGATTTAGTTTCCAAAGAAAATTCTGCTTGATGAATTAAGAAGCATGGAGAATTCTTATTACAACAAATAAGTTTGTATACTAGATACAATATATTCCCCCTAGGGATGTTTACAATAATTTGCATACAAGTTGTGGCAATGTATTTGAATGCAAGATTGCATACAAGTTGTGGCTATGTATTTGAATGCAAGATTGCATACAAGTTGTGGCAATGTATTTGAATGCAAGATTGCATACAAGTTGTGGCAATGTATTTGAATGCAAGATTGCATACAAGTTGTGGCAATGTATTTGAATGCAAGATTGCATACAAGTTGTGGCAATGTATTTGAATGCAAGATTGCATACAAGTTGTGGCAATGTATTTGAATGCAAGATTGCATACAAGTTGTAGCTATGTATTTGAATGCAAGATTGCATACAAGTTGTGGCAATGTATTTGAATGCAAGATTGCATACAAGTTGTGGCAATGTATTTGAATGCAAGATTGCATACAAGTTGTGGCAATGTATTTGAATGCAAGATTGCATACAAGTTGTGGCAATGTATTTGATTGCAAGATTGCATACAAGTTGTGGCAATGTATTTGAATGCAAGATTGCATACAAGTTGTGGCTATGTATTTGAATGCAAGATTGCATACAAGTTGTGGCAATATATTTGAATGCAAGATTGCATACAAGTTGTGGCAATGTATTTGATTGCAAGATTGCATCTTACTAAAATGGGACTTTACAAATTCACACAAAGGTTCATTTTTGTACAGATAGATACTATATAAGATAACAGAACACATGTATATTTTACACTTACTCCTATGCTTTCATTTTCAAGCATTAACCCTGTTTTATACACATGTAATTATTAAGGGATAGAGAGAAAAAGATATAGAAATGTTATGGTGGTCATGTTTTGGAATGCAAAATAAAGTAAAAATATGTTCACTCAGCAAAAAATAAAACAAACATGCGTTTAATCAACACTCTGAATTGCAAAAAGTGCCAGAAAATCCGGCAGTTTATTCAAATTTTATAGAGGAATTGTGTGAAAAAGGAATGACCGCCATGACCATGTCTCATGAATAGTGATATAAAAACAATGTTAATCTTGCCTTAACTTGTAACGTAAACAAACAAAACAGTCTAGTCAACATTCTATTCAATGATTATTCAACAGTTGTGTAGATAATCAAAACTTGGAGGCTGTATTTTATTTCGTTTTATAGAATTTTGTTTCATTTATTATCAAAATGTATATTTCACTCATTTTATTCATTTATTTTATATCATTGAGATGTATACGTGGAACATGGTAATCTGTCTGTTTGAAAGTAAAAGTTACTTCATATTATAAAATTATTTTATTGAGTAAATCCTCAAAATTTTTGATTATGTACACAAAATGTGAGCATATGTAATGTATCCCATTCTCTTCATTTATGTATATTTAAAAAACAAAAGTGTCTGTGTCATTTTTAGTTAATGTGTCTCATGTCAAATTGTTGTGTCTAAATTATATGAGACTGTATGTTCCAAGTTTGGAAAAATAGATTAGTGCTGTTTATTATAAAGAAATATTTTAGGGAATGTATTTTACCAAATATCTTGTAGAAGTATGTGATATTTGAATGCTTATATATGTGCTATACAAGACACATAGATTTATACAAGATTGTTTCATGTGTTGCCATGGTGATATATTTGTCACTGTTTCCATGGCAATGGGTTTGTTAATGTGTTTATATATAAAGGCATGCCTGTCTGCTTGTTTAACTATAATAGTTATATATTATATATACTAAATAAATTGTTATACCAGGATGTTTGGTAAAATATACTACCCATAATTCCCATCCTTCCACCCACGTCTATTATAATCTAATGTAAATATGGGGTTGCCGGGGTGATGGGTGGGAACCTGCCAAAATGGCATTGTAATACACCGTAATGTTCACATGTCCAGTCCCCTCATTAAAACTGCATAATTTTTTTCGTTTCAAAAACAGCAATTTGATTTGAAGTTTGATCTGTGTCCTCACTAACAATTGCCAATATTTGGTGTAATGTCTCGAAAAAATGTCGTGTTCTTTTTTAAATTGGAATTTTATGTAAAGTAAAGCATAAAAACTGTGTTTTGTTGGTTTAAAGTGTATGTGTACATTAGAGACATCTTTAGTTTAGTTTGTATGATGTGTCTGTTGTCTACACACTGCTGTTTGAAAATAAACAATGCAGTTAAGAAATATATAACATTGTGTTTTGTTGATTTTCTTTAATGAATGGATAGTGCGAGTAGTATACAAGATTCTGGTTGTCAAAAGGACATCAAACATTAGAAGGCCCTATAAGAGTTAAGTTAGCTCCTTGGCTCAGTTGCGGTTTATTTCATTTTGGATCCATCCCTCCCTAGCCTTGCCCAAGTTGGTATTTTTTTACTTATCTGATCTTGAAATCAAGATAAGTAAAAGAGACCGACTTGGGCAAGGCTAATCTCTCCCCTTATCATATGAAATTTCAAAATGTTGATTTGCCTTTCACTTAAGTATTAGAAAAATCAGCGAAACTATCATTCGAAAATATCCCTCTAATGAAGAGACATCATTATTCAACTTTGAACACTCATTTCTCTGCCATGTGACAACATTTGTCCTACTGGGGGTCATTAACAGAACTTTCGCAAAGTTACGAATTCGCAAGTCAATTGTTAATTTTATGAATTTGGTAAATGTGCATTAACAGAACTTTCGTAAACTTACGAACAATTCGCAAAGTCACGAAAAAATGACGTCACGTATGCTTTCGTTCGTAACTTAAATAGCACCTCAGACCCTTACATAACTTTGCGAATGGCATATTTCTCATACAGTTCTTATGTAAGGTATACAGGTTGGCAAAAAGAAATTGTTCTTTATATGCCTGCTAAGTTTCAAGCTAAAATATCCACCTATTCTTACATAATAAGCAAATATGTTCCTGAGCTGGGAATCTTTGAAATCGCGGAGACAGGTTTAATCATAGCGCGCAATGATATCAAATGATATCATATTTCTATTTGTGCTAAATAATGATAAATGATGACGTCACAATTTGAAATTCGTTTACGAACGATAAAACTTATGAATGACTTACGAAAGTGTTCTGTTAATGGCCAATTCGTAACTTTACGAATTCGTAAGTCATTCGTAACTTTTTAAATATTTACGAATTTCATAAAGTTACGAATAACGAATTCGTAACTTTGCGAAAGTTCTGTTAATGACCCCCAGGTTACAGACACCGAACACAAAAAAGTTGGAGACTTTAACAGTAGTCTAGTGAACACCTATTCTCAGCACATACTCCATTGAGTTCTGCATGGAACTGTCTCTCTGTAATGAACACCTACCTATAGTGAACACATTTTTGTGGCTTTATAGGTGTTCACTGTACACATGTTTTACTATATGTCACCACTTGGTGACATAAAATGATGGATATGGCATGTATGGAGTTTTTAATGGTTACCCTTTCAATTAAATATCAATTACCGAATTCCAATCAATTATACTCATTACTTTGGTTAAAATTGAAAAATTTAGATTTTAGAATTGCGAATTCCTGCAAAGCAGCCATTTTGAATTTTCTGAGGTACAAATCTGAAAAATAATACCATAATTGTGATCTACTCCAAAATTCCTTCAATTTGAGTATTATATAGCCATACTTTAAGGGATCGAAAAATTATTGCGAAATTGTACATTAGACGGCCATTTTGAATTTTACGAGGCTCGAATCAGAAAAAAGATACAATATTTGCAATCTACTCTTAATTGCCTTTGATTTGAGTATAATAAAGCTATACTTCAGAAAGATCTAAAAATTAGCGAAAATTTCTGTTTTCCTGACCCCCCATACATGGCCCCTGGGGGTCAGGATGAAAAACACTGAATATATGTGGAATAGATAGATGTTGCGAATATACTACCAAAATTTCAAACAATAATATTGATTACTCTGGTTTAGAATGAAAAATTTATGATTTTTGCGAAAAAGTCCCGCCATTTTTAAAGCGGCGGCCATCTTGAAAAAATCCATTTTGAATTTTCTGAGGTACAAATCTGAAAAATATTACCATAATTGTGATCTACTCCAAAATTCCTTCAATTTGAGTATTATATAGCCATACTTTGAAGGGATCGAAAAATTATTGCGAAATCGTACATTAGACGGCCATTTTGAATTTTACGAGGCTCGAATCAGAAAAAAGATACAATATTTGCAATCTACTCTAAATTGCCTTTCATTTGAGTATAATAAAGCCATACTTCAGAAAGATCTAAAAATTAGCGAAAATTTCTGTTTTCCTGACCCCCCATACACGGCCCTGGGGGTCAGGATGAAAAACACGGAATATATGTGAAATAGATAGATGTTGCAAATATACTACCAAAATTTCAAACAATAATATTAATTACTTTGGTATAGAATGAAAAATTTATGATTTTTGCGAAAAAGTCCCATCATTTTTAAAGCGGCGGCCATCTTGAAAATCTTGCGTAAAATTATTCATCAATATACATCTCTCCACCAAATATGAAGAAAATCCGTCAACTAATATTTGAGTTATCTTCCGGACGGACAGATGGACGGACGGACTGACGGACGGACGGACGGAGGGCTTCACTATATCCCTACCGAACTTCGTTCGTTGGGATAATAATACTATGACGTACATAAAAATTTACAAAAAAATCAAAGGTTCTTTCATATATTTTGTTTATTAAATCAAAATGTTAAGATAAAAACAAAATATATTAGCAAGATGGAGAAATTATTCTTGCACTCCATGAAACTGCTTGGCATAAAATTGAATTGAGTTGGCAAAGAATATGACTACCGATAAGATTCAATATGTTTGAACTTTCCGTGTAAATATTGGGACGATGGGCTTCTACGTCATAAATAGCCAACCTCAAAAATCCCTTGCCTAACCAAGCATTGTATCTGTCCAGGAAAATCACTGTAAATGTGGATAACCTAATAAATGCAACAATCCTTTGATCTCTAGCGCATTCTATGAACTTTGGGTTTGAAATGAGGTGGCTGTTCTTTCATAGCAACGTCAAAATCGAACCCAATTTTTTCCTGTTCGATTTTCAAATCAGCTAATTGCCTTTCAATCTCCGTTAAAGATGTTTCTTTATATATCATAAAATCATCCTTCTCCTTTGAAAGTTCTTTTTTCAATGCATCAAGTTTGGCAAATTTTATCTGATGAGCTGCGAGTACTGCTTCCCTACGTCTAGTAGCACTACGAGATGGATCAACCTTATAAACAGGATATGGAATCCATTTAATTTTCAGTTCATTGCAAAGCCAGACAAAACGGCTGTAGTCCAACATACGTAGGAGTTTAAGCCACTTTTTCCTCCTAGCGATCTTTAAATACAGCTTAGATTTTGCACACTTGTCCTGAAAATAAACAGAAAATTCTTTAAACGTATAAGGCTCTGTTTCAACTCCAACTAGGCTTAGATTCCTGCTTCAAAATGAAAACTGTACTCAAAAGACTAGTACCAATTGTTTGCCTTACAATATGATCATCTGAAAAAAGAATTGAGTTATTTGATTGAATATTGAAAAGAATAATGCGGTATCATGGGTGTGATTGAGCATTGCAGTTAAAGTATAAATCATATTATAATTCATGGAACTAAACATGTATTTTAAATCATACATAAATCATACATAAAGTGATTGACCAGTGACCTAAAGTGATTGACCAGTGACCAAAAATTGATTGATAAGTGGCCTAAAGCGATCGACCAGTGACCTAGTGATTTACCAGTGACATAAAGTGATTGACCAGTGGCCTAAAGTGATTTACCAGTGACATAAAGTGATTTACCAGTGACATAAAGTGATTGACCAGTGGCCTAAAGTGATTGATCAGTGACATAAATTGATTGATCAATGACCTAAAGTGATTGACCAGTGACCTAAAGTGATTGACCAGTGACATAAAGTGATTGACCAATGACATAAAGTGATTGACCAGTGACCTAAAGTGATTGACCAGTGACCTAAAGTGATCAACCAGCGACAAAAAATGGTTGATCAGTGGCCTAAAGTGATTGATCAGTGACAAATTGATTGACCAGTGACCTAAAGTGATTGACCAGTGACCTAAAGTGATTGACTTACCTTTCTGAATTGTGTCACATGAGGAATCAAATTTCTGATCTGAACTGTCATGAGAGCAACTAAAATAAACAAAACAAGTACATGTAAATAAATGACTAGCATGTATACAAATACAGTGTATATTTTATGTTTAAAAATGTATTTTGCCCCAAAACCTCATGTGATTCCACCCAGCACATAACTACTTTGGAGAATCCAACAAACATCAGAATATGAGCAAAGATCCAGAGGATCTTCTTTTTCTGATTTTTATTGCATGAAAATATGAAACAAGGGGTCTAAAACATCTTCAAAAGTAGAATGGTATTGAAAGTCTAATTTTGAAGATATCAATTTTCGATGACCAAAATCATGCTGAAAACAATGGGTAGCATGAGTTTTCCCTATGGGAAAATAACATGGGAAATGTGGTTTTTAACTTTATCGCATTTCTCTTTTCAGAAGTTATTAATATAGTGTAGAAGAAACTGATATATTTAATTTGAGAAAAACAAGATCCTCTTTTTAGAAAATAAGCCTTACATTTTTAAAAAAGTGACAAGGTGGGGTCCTAATCCATAATTTTTCAGAGAGTGGGATTGATATTTTACTATCACGGGGACGTCACTTTAAAGAAAACATATTGTTTTAATAAAAACCACTGTATTTATACCCAAAAAATACTAATGGTGAAAGATATGACTGTCTAAAATCACTTGCCATACTGCACATGGACCTTTCAATGCACAGTTAACTCCTTACATATCACCTTGAAGTGAAAATACACAAATGAGAAAGAGCTGCATATAATTTCTATCTTACCAAGTTAACTCAAAACCATATGACTGTAGGACAACACAAGAAACATTTATTTATCATATCTTCCTTTTGTAAATGTAATTGTTACACTGAAGGAAATAAAGTCATATGGAAAAAAAGAAAAAAGTTTACTCATAAGAGTGACCTTATTTTCTGCTATTTCTATTAATTCATAGAGTGTTGAATAGATGTCTCTTTATTTTGTTCTCTACTTGTTCTACGTTTTATTTCAAAACAAGACCATATTTGGTTACATTACCCAGGTGATGATTCCGCAAACTCATACTCACTTCTGATTTCTGCTGAGAATATATCAGTTGGATTCTTCTGCATTTTCAATCTCATCTCTTCCATTCTGTGTTTAAGGACTTCTTTCTGGAAATATAAATATGTAGAAGTCATTCACTGGCAAAAAGACTAAGAGGTTGACTGGAAATATAAATACATATACTATTTTCAGGCCCGTAGCCAGGATTTGCCAAGGGGGGGGGGGTCAGTTTTCAAAAATTTACAGGGGGAGGGTTCACATTTGACAATTTTGGCCGAAGTATGGCTAAAATCACTTGAGAAGTGCTCAAAATGGTGAAAAACTGCATGATTTTGAAAGAATTTTTGGCCAGGGGGGGGGAGTTCGCCCGAACCCTGCGAACCCCCCACCCTGGCTACGGGCCTGATTTTATAAAATTACAACATCTACAGCGTCAATACACTAATTATCACCCAGGACTATTGCTCAATCTGTCGTAACTCAAATTAATTTGTAATTCAAACGATCAAGTAATCGAGCAGTTTTATTCATGAAATAATACACATTTTCAAAACAAAACATTACATAAAATGTCATGATAATGAAATTAGATATAATATTTATGTCAGCAAATGCATTAGTGTAACAACATTGTCTTCATGTGATATTGGGATGGAATATCGTATAGCTCATCCAGGCAATATGACATTATCACTTAGTTAGCTTTAACAACATCACATATGACACCAAGGACTTTCAATGCGTTAGATTGAATTGTCAAATGGTCATGCCATGTAATCTGATCAATCACAGCCCATCAATATAATTTGAGCTGTGATGAATATATAATAAATACCGAAATCAGATCATGCGCTTGTCAGCATGATGGTGTCTCCTCTATTGTATAATTTGTGAGGTAAAACATGTTTAGCTGTTAAAAATCTTATTTCATTAGAGAGAACTCTGTAAATTGATATCAATCTGCTAAGGGAGGGAGGCATATAAGACCCCAGGTGTAGAATTTAAGTCACTAATGAAATGAGTGTTCACTACAGGTTGGGTCAAAAAATGTCCATATGTTTTATCTTTTAAAAGTTGCTTATCAAATTTTGCATTAATATCACAAATATTTCTGCTAGGAATGCAGCTATTGATTACACGATACACTCCAAACTGGTATAAGAATTTCTCAAGCAGTATTTTGAGATTAGAAAGGTTGACAGAAAATGGCGGAGTGAATGTAAACTCCATATTTTAAGGTTATAATCAACATTGAAATTTTACTGTTCATACGAGAAGGACATTTTAAGCGATTTATATATTATAGGAGACATGTTATGGTCATACACTATCGTAATTTATATTTTTGTTAAAATCGGAACATTGGGAGTATATTCCAAAAGATTTACATACAACTGACAAAATGGTTCAACATTTTTTTGCAGGCATAGAGACTATTTGGTGGTTTAAAACCTTTTCTGATGATTCTATTTACGAACTATGCATGAAGGACCATTCAAAGTCTTCTATTGAACCTTGAAAAGCCATATTTAGACTGAGGATTGAAAGGTGTTCCAGCTCATCTTTATTACGATAGACCAGAAAGGAATTTTCCAGTCGAGTAAATTGTGATAACGTTGTTTTTATGAAACGGGGAAGTCTAATAATTACTAATAGAAATCAAAGTAAGTATAAGAAGATCGTTTAGAAGCATTTAAAATTGAATCCACAGCGAAATCTAAATAATTGAAATATTCACACACAGAATCCCTTTAATATAAAAATAGAATTCTTTAGCTAATTTCTGGGTGAAATGACTTGTTAATGCCATTCTTAGGAACAATTACACCTGCACCTCCAGTAAATCGATTTTTGAAACCATACATTATTTTTAAAAAACATCACAAAATAAAAAATAAGGATGTTTTTTTGACCCACCCTGGATGTACACTGTAGTAATATAAGGCAAACATGACAGCGGAAATGAGACATGTAATCTTTTAGATTATTTCATTTTGTCTAAAGATATATTCAACAGAGCTAGAATAGGGATTGCTTACAAATTAACTGATGGAATTCATTGTAAAATAAACAAGAAATGGTCACATGTTAATTGTACTCAACTTTCAGAATTTCATTCAAATTATAAAAATATAAAGCAACTAAGTGAATGAAATAATAAAAAAAAAGTGAACATTTACTTCAATCGATATACAATTTACAATAACACTCAAGTTATACACAGAAAAGGAGAACAATTTCTTAAATATATGTGTATATACAACTGTAGTATAGAATAAGCTGGAGGAAGATAATAACATACTTATCCACTACACACAAAATAAAATCAGAAGTAACTTTTCTTCTTTCAATATTTGAGACGATGAATAACTCAACTTGGAACAATTCTGACTCTGGACCAACATACTATAGTCCGATTATAATATCACTTCAGATTATATTAGGGACACTAATGATATTCACAAACTCATTGGTCATAATGGCCGTCAAGCGCTACAAGAAACTCCAGACAGTTTCAAATCTGTTCCGCACCCATTTAGCCGCCAGTGATATCACATTTGGAAGTATGCTAGTACTGAGGGCGCTTTTAGCAAGCACTGGGTATTTGGACATGCCATATGTATGTTTGTTCATTTTGATTATACTCATCACATCAGGGTGCGCCACAGCCACAGGAATTTTTCTCTTGTGGCTCGAGAGTTTCTTGTTGACAAAACGATCACATAATCACCAAGGTGCGTTTAGTAAGAGAACTGCTACAAAGATGATTTTCGCTACATGGGGAATATGGACAGTTTATGGATTTCTTAGCTTGGCTTTTTTAAATGACAGATCTATAGACAAGAGATGTTTAATAACAAATGGTTACAATGAATATTTTCTGATGAGCCTGAGTATAATTACAGCGATACATATATTTATACTGATTGGAATTCAAATTGCAACCTTCAAAATGTTGTCCAGACATATAAAAAGACTTACAAAAAAGGGTGTTATACCACCTAAAATCAGTATATCATATGTACCCATCAAACATAACAGAATTACTCCAGTCAGTGAAAGGACTGTGAAAGCAACCAATCAAATCAAAGACAACCATTCACACCCTAAACCTAAGGATACATCTACTTCCTCACAGAAGAATATACAATCAGGACAATATCTCAGAGTACCAAGCAAAAGAAGAAAAAATGTATCAGTAGATATACCACAAGAGGAACATGTTACAATAAAGACATCAAGTAAGAGAAAGATTGCTCCTAACAAGCACACAGAATATTCCACTAAACAAAGAAATAACACAGAAAAGTTGGCTGATGATGATATACCAGGTAACATGGATTACAAGTGGGATCAGCAAGGACCTCCTAGAGAAGAATTTAATATCAATATGGATTATACAAAGCCAAATATCAAAATAAATGTAATAGCATGTGATAAGGTGATACCTTGCACAAGTGCTTGGACTGTTTCCCAGATAGCTACATGTACTCCAAATGAGATACACTCTATCAACAAAGCACATGATGAGGAAAACAAGAGAATCACTAATGAAGATGCAATCCCTGAACATACAACAGAAGCTGGTGAAAGTGAAGAGAGCAGTGAAAATGCAAACAATAAACATACAAAATCACAACATAATGCAGAAATCTCCAAGGCAACTATTGATGGTTCCAAAGATAGAGTGAATGATTTTAAAGAATTAAATAAATCTATTAATGCAATATGTCATGAAGAAAAATATTCAGAAATATTCAAATATGATACTGAAAACAATGAATTAAAAAATCAGGCTTCTTTGCAAAAACTTCCACAAGTTCCAGCGACCAATCAAATTGCTTCTGAGAAAGATCTAGAAACCAATCAAGATTCATCAATGGAAAAGGCAGTGACCAATGAGATTTCTTTGAAGGATCATGTTGTAGCCAATAAGATTGTTGCACCAGGAACTTCCAAAGATACCAGAGAAGAGTCTAGTGGAAGACTCTATAACTATAGAGAGGTGAACTACCAGTGGACTTTACAAATGGCCAGACTTGCTCACCTAATCAGCTTCATTTTCCTATCATTTGTGTGTTGCTACACACCATTTTTAGTCTGTGTGTTTATTTATTCAATAGAACCAGGCAAATATGTAGGTCCTACAGCTATATATATCACCACAAATATCTTAGTTTTTAACTCATTTACAAATGTACTGATCTATATCACAAGGAGTTCTGACTACAGAAGGGCCTTTAAGAATATTGTCACATGTAGAGGAACGACTGTCCACCCAACACAACAAGGCCTTTAAGAAAACTGTCATGTAGAAGAAAGAATGTGTAGCAGATATAACAGGATCTTGAGGAACACTGTTAGTGTAAAAGACTGCCTGTTAGATAAAAATAAGAGACTAACTTATTAGATAAATATTTCTTTTCAAGTTTAGATACTTAAATAAAAGAAGGTTTCTGACCCTTCAAAGTCTGTTGTGATACAAACAAAATGTCATTGCTAACATAAATGCTGATTGATGCATTGAAACTTGTGGGTTGATTTTCACAACTGCCAAATGGCCTTAAGGACCATTGATATATGGTGAAGAATTAGTGAGTTTAAATATATACTTTAACATGTAAAAATTACTTCAAAAATCTACCAAGATAAATTTCAATGTTAATATCCAAGACCTTATCATCCTGGGTGAACTACCCATCTTTTTATTCGGTTTGCTTACATTACTAAGGATTATCAGCGGTTTTTCAGTAAAAATGATGACCTTATCCTACTAAAATGAAGATTATGTTCAACAACAAGTTCAGGGTGTGATTCTGTATAGCGCATTCTCAAGGGAAATTAATGTACTTTATAAAGACAACAAACAAGCATCTGTGGATAGAAAAGTTAGAAAGCCTTAGCCACAGATGTGTGCATGTTCAGTACGATAAGGTCACCATTTTTACTGAAAAGATTGCTTATTATGGTATTAAAATTAATTAAAAACATATAAGTGAATAAATATGAAGAGAAACAAGATATTAGTTTGATTAATGTAGTGTATTTGAAGTTTTAATACTGCAATATTTACACACAACCCAAAGTGACTCTTGTGAAGGGCAAGCTACTATGGAAAATTAGTGAGCTGCAGTCTATCTGAGTCCTGGCTTCCATTGGCCTGTGTGTATATTTGCTGTTTTTAAACCCCAAAAATCATTTAAAATATTGATAAACATTTATTTTACACTCACCCCATCTGCAAACTCCAGACTGAAGATTTTTTGAACTGCTTCCTCGGCACTGTAAAATAATGATCACATGCTTAAGTTATTTTGAGGGTAGATTCTATTACATATGGACTCAAAGAAACATTCACATTTCAAAAATATCATGAATTCAAACATGACCGTGCTAAAATTGAATTTCTCAACCAATCAGAATGCAGCATAGCCAATAGAGAACATTCTGTAATTCTCCATAGATGCACGACCGTGCTCTATTCAATCATCCATGTATCTATAAATTGTGACGTCACACTTATGAATGGCGAAAACAGCAGCAAGTTTGGTTATTTTATGGACCCCTGAACCCCAATTTTCCAAACAATGTTTTTATTTTTATGTTTGAATCAGAATAAATACGTAATGATAGGCCATTAAATATGGTGAAATTCTACACTCGTTGGACAGAATGTCAGTACAAATGCACTCATCTTCAATTCGTGCTTTGTTCTGTCCAACCTGTGCTGAATTTCACCATACTGAATGGCCTATCATTATTTATTCCTTAACCACATGACACTATTTTCATTTGAAAACACACTTTCTTAAAGGAACTGGTATTACTCACACTTTGACCTGTTCAGACTGCTGGTAATCCACACGTGGTAAACTCAAGTCAACGGACGGTTGTTCTGCCATGTCTCCTATGAATATAAGAATAAGTAATGTGATGATCCAAACATGAAATGATGTTCAGTCCATAAAAATATAGGAATATTTATGGCTTTGAAAAAATCATTTATATCCATTAGTGGATATAAGATTTCATAGAATTGTTTAATAAAAGAAATTTGAAAAAAAATTGAAGAGTAATATGTACAGAAGTTCGGAATAACATGGAGTAGTGAATGAAGGACTGATAGACATACGGGAGTAATCTTAACCACAATATATATTTACCTGCAAAGGCAAGGTCTAAGATTTCAGGTTTGGCACGCTGAAGAAATCTCTTGGTTCTCTTCTTTGATCTCCTGCCAGTATATTTGCCACAGTCAACGTCTGCAAACAGAAAAGTATCAGCTGTAAGTAAATGCAATCTCTCCTTATAGCAATCTCCCCTTAAAGCAATCTCTCCTTATAGCAATCTCTCCTTATGCAATCTCTCATTATAGCAATCTATCCTTATAGCAATCTCCCCTTATAGCAATCTCTCCTTATAGCAATCTATCCTTATAGCAATCTATCCTTATAGCAATCTCTCTTATCAATCAAACCTACCAGGTCATCATTTCTCATAACAAACAATATTGTTGAATACAAGATGAATTATTGTAACTTGAATGGTAAAGGAAAGGAGAATGGGATGAAAAATATATTTCAAATTAGTATTTTTATCATTTTTAGTATTTAGTTTGACCCCCCTCCAAAGAAAAACCCCTAGACCTAACATATTCTTCCATACTGTGTGCCTATTCATTCAGTAATTAGATAATAAGCTTTCTTTTGAAAAAATAAATCTTCTGGATTTATTGAATTTTCTAGCAGAAATCAGCTACTCCCCCATTCATTTTTTCCGATCGCCAAGCGTCAGCGTGAGTTTCTGAATATCACACGTCGATGTGATTTTTTATTTGATATAAACATATTCCTTACATCTTTCTTTCTCTTGACATGGAATAATTAATAATATTGGTAAACACCAAAGAAATCAACATAATATTTTAATCGAAGCACTTTTACAAAATTTGACCAATCAAATCATCACTGAACTCCAGGGAATTCCCCCTCTTGACTATAGTATGGAATCAGAGTTTCTAAAGATGTCAATCCAGTCCAGGTTCATGTTGTTATTTCTTACATTGGTGACATTGTCTCCCTGTCCTCTAAAATGTCATTGGCAGAAACATTTTTTTTATCATATAAACATTTTACTCCAATTCCCGAGCCAGTCCCCATTGGTGGTAGGCTCAATAAAATAATGAGAGGATCAGATATGAAACAAAAAATAGTACATCCAAAATATAACCACCCAAAAACATGACCCTCGTAATGACCTTTACATTTACCATCTCTCAAGCTTCGAGTGATAAATATTTGCCCTGTACTCTCTTCATATTTTAGTGAAATTCAAAAATAAAAACATGATTATCTCCATACATTTTGGTAATTTAATAAAAAATGGAATTCACCATAATTATGACAATACCGAAGGTGAACATTCTCCCACATATTATGTTTGTATTGGAATGTGTTCTTAAATAATTACCCACAATGCAATACTCGAAGAGAACATATTGAAGTTGATACCTCTTGTTCTTATTGGTCTTTTTGTTTACTTTTACATGAGACTGAATATATTTTATGATTTAATCACATTGAAAATTAATTTTCATTCAAAATAATACTAGAGTCAATACGTCTATTTCCAAACACCCCCATCAAAAAATGTAGTTAGCTTGGCTGTACTGCACATCTGTAGAATAATTTTATATATGTTATGTGAATTAGATGCTGTAAAATGCATTTGCAAAAAAATATTCCGATAAATTGTCAAAAAATCTGGGTTATACCACTTTGAATACAATGTATTTTATGGGGGTAAATCCAAACAGGAGATTTTTTAGGGGGTAATTCCGAACACTAGCATGGGGGTAAATCCAAACACTTAACTAAACTTCATTGTTTTACTTGTTAGATTGATGGTATATCATTATATGGTACCCTGAAGTAATGATACTCGATCCTGACACCCCTGCATATCAATAACCCCAAATATAATTGATTTATAAGTGACATCTATTTATTTTAAGGCATAGGGTTTGTGGGGGTAATTCCAAACACTAGCATGGGGGTAATTCCGAACACCTAGATCATCATAATTGATTATTTTATCGTTAGAGTGTTTGGTATATATCATTATATGGTATCTTTCAGGATATAATTGTAATATAGAGGTAGTAGAGGGGCTATTATTCAATTCAATGATTTGCTTGCCATTGTTTGCAACCCGTTCGGGTTTACCCCCCCCCCCCCCCCGTTTGGATTTAGACGTATTGACTCTAATACTTATATATATCTATCTAATAGTTTTTGAAATATTGCCATAAAAGCGAAGCATGGCATTGCTCATTTTGAAGGTCTTGTGTTTATTACACAGAGTTGCATATCCTTCTAATTGAAAGCGTAATAGATGTCATGATCACCGGAAATTGCCAAAGCCAGACATTAAAGAGAGAATCAGATATAGCTAGCAGGCTAAACAAAAAATTGCTTCAATTTTAGAATATTTTTGGCTCATGTCATTCCTTGTCATGTCTATTTTCTAAAAATCACAAAAGTGCATACTTTATTCAAGGAAAACTAAAGATTTTTACAATAATGTATTATTTTTCTATAAGAATGGTTACCATTCTTATTATTTGGGAGAATTTAAACATTTTTCACCCATTTTTGCACCTTGAATCATTAATAACTTCACCAATTTATAACATATTGTGAATTTTTTTGGAGATATTGTATTTGAGATTGTAAGGAATAGATTGGTAGGTCAATTATACAAGTTGCTTGTAATTTTGTTACCCCCCTAAAGATCTGATTCTGCCTTTAACTTTCCACTCAACTATTTTCTTCTTTTATCAAGAGATGCTAACATGGTTTAGACTAGTGACTGAGACAAGACATTTGAGGTATGACGTGTTATATTTATCGATAAACTGACTGCAGAATATGAAAGACCAATAAGAGCAAGAGGTACCAACTACAAGATTTTGAGTAAATTTACAACAACATATTTAGCCTAGAGACCAATGGTAGGAATCTGGCCGAGGTCCGTGATTTTACTCACCACTTGTATGTAGCAAAAGCACCTGAACACTAGCCAACGTTGGAGAGCTTGAGGTGGGAAAAATAATTTTTGGAAAAAAAGCATGTTTTACAACTCCTGTACATGCTCGAGCAATGTTCATCCCGGAAAACATGTTTGAAGGTTTGATGGATTATACGTTTATACCGTATGTTCAAAGAAGTTGTAAAAACCCAGTGGATATTGGTTAAAACTGATTTATTTAAGGCAAATCACATATTTTCGCCCAAAACGGAAGTCGCCATTAAATTTCCGAATTATACCGAGTGTTGACGGAAAGATCCGATTTATTTTGTTGTTATAACTACGTGACGTCAGTTGTAAACATTTTACATCCGGGCTCCTGACATTTCTAGGTTGCTATGAGCAACTTATGTTATTTTGACCTCCATTTTGGAATTAGTTGGCATCGAACGTAGAAGGATAAGTTGAAAATTGCAAATAAGGCGCGTTACACGCCATTCAAAAAGATATTTAAAAGTTATAACAGAAACCAGGAACATGACAACCAAAGCAAACGATGCTTTTACCATCAAATCTTTGATGAAAAACGCAGACGTAAGTTTAAAGCTCAGGCTTGCATTTGTTTTCCACAGACAATTTTAGCAATTTATGATTTCACTTTAAAGTTGTTTGTTTGTATCCTTTATAGCGTTCGATACTTCTCGGAATCCGCTTGTGAAGTCTTTTTAGACTGATGGTTGGTTATGTCTATCATTGTAACAACATAGACACAACTGCAGGCCCGTAGCCAGGATTTGCCAAGGGGGGGTTCAGTTTTCAAAAATTTCCAGGGGGGGGTTCACATTTGACAATTTTGGCCCAAATATGGCTAAAATCACTTGAGAAGTGCTCAAAATGGTGAAAAACTGCATGATTTTGAAATAATTTTTGGCCAGGGGGGGTTCGCCCGAATCCTGCGAACCCCCCCTGGCTACGGGCCTGCAACTGTGTGATAAGTTGTGTGATTCTAAAATGAGTCAAATTCAAAAGATTGTTGTGAGATTTCAGATTTTGATGATTCTTTTTTAAATTAGATAAAATCTACTTTAGGCCTATACATAGTTGGTATACACTGTAGGACTAGATAAGCAGTTAGCTTGGCTACCTTCAGCATCATCACAGATGTTTGAATTGATTACAGTTTTGATGTACGATTTAATTGATTTTGATTCTTTTAAAGTCTTAAGTGTAGCCTAATTTTGTCATAAAAATTCATACCATCCCGCCACTTACTTATATTTGATATTTTCAGGTTGGATCCCCACACAAAGCAGGTGCTTTCAAACCAAGACACACCACACCCACACAGTTCAGAAAGTGTTATGAAAGAGGAGACTTTCCTATTGCGCTAGAACATGACACAAAAGGCAACAAGATTGCATGGAAGGTGTGTAATATTTGGATTATCGCAACACCCTGGAATATGTCATTTTGATGGATGAAACATCATGATGTAATATCCAACCAACCTGAAGATCCAGTTCACAAGTTGAATATATCTTCAAATATGTTAATCATATAGTGTGGCATAGTTATCCCGTTTGTAATTCTGTATTCTATACTAAATGTACATGTAACATGTTGATGTTAAAAGAGGATTATATTGTTTTAATTAAATTGAAAAATGAAAAATTTGTTTTTTTCATTCCAGGTTGAAATTGAAAAACTAGACTATCACCATTATTTACCATTGTTCTTTGATGGTCTCCGTGAAACCACACATCCTTATGAATTCTTCGCGAGACAAGGTGTACATGATATGTTAGAACATGGAGGCTCAAAAATATTACCTGTAATCCCACAGCTCATTATCCCAATAAAAAGTAAGAACATTGGACTGTTAGATGTACACAGTTCATAAAAGAATATACCACTTGATGTGGTACATTTCGAACAGAATTACAATTTCTTTAATTGCATTAAAATAATATTGTAAACATGTTTACTGATATGCTATTCAAGACTATTGCTATCTCATATTAGGCTCCTGAATTTCATTTATTCGATTCATGATAAATCTTACTGTTCCTATTAAATGATTTATAAATGTACATGTAATTATGTATTGCAAAAATGCTGTTCTTAATTAATGTGATAATATATTAGTTATACAACCCCATAATTTGATTGACAGTTTGGCAATGTGTGAAGAATATATAATTTATCACATTTGAATGTGCTACTGAAGTACATGCATATTGAAAATGAATGAACGATTAATTTATTTTTTATTATTTATTTTAGATGCTTTAGAGACCAGAACTCCCAAAGTTTTGTGTACAACTCTAAAAGTAATGCAGCATTTAGTTGTATCAGGAGAACACATTGGAGAAGCTCTCGTACCCTATTACAGACAGATCCTACCAGTACTTAACATATTTAAAAGTAAAAATTGTAAGTACACATGAATTTCACCATACACTACATCTTTATACCTTCCAAATATGAATCTCCTATATGCATCAATGCAAAATTATCATGAATTTTGTTATTCAAGATAATTTTGACTTGTATTGATGATAGCAGAATCAGTGATAGACAACAATAGAGGTGTGAATACCAACATTTGTAGAAACATAAACACTGGATGCTGAAATCTTTGTCGAAATGAGTTTCAAAGAGCCAAAAATATTATGACATAACAGTTTTGAATAAGTTGCTCTCTATCTCTGATTCTGCCTGAGTATGTATGTAGTAAGTAGTTAGTACATGTAGTTAGGACTGTATTCCCCATAGCTGCATGTAGCTTTAGTTGCAACTACCAGTTGCTTCCTAGCATGTTTTAGTATGAAAAATAATACATATGATACATCCTACTATAGGTACATATAATAGCTCTCAGATATGGATAACACACCAAATGCTATCTCGCTGTCTCATTTTCTGCCAATAATGACACAATGGACATTTATAAAGCAATATTACAAAAACAAGTATATATGTATATTAGTTTTCATGCAGTATACAATATACATTACCAGCTATGCCGTATTATTGATTTTTTCATCGCAATATCATATACCTGATTGCCCTTAGTAATAGCATGATATGATTTCATGATCTTATAAATTGACCTTTTGCGATCAGAATTCAGGAATTTTGTTTATGGATACTGTTGTCACGTATTTCGTCTTATTGGTATGACATCATATAGAAATGATATTAGACATGATGGAATCACGAAATGGCGGACACGTGGCAGTTTTGAGCTAAAAATATTGTCGTTTCTTATATAAAAACCATGGGTCGGATATTTACCAGGTATGCCTATTTGACTAGATCATGAGTATGTCTATATATATGCGAAGTTTGGGTGAAATTCATACTAAACATTGATGCCTATAAGCGCCCCCCGTTTTTGTCAAAATCGGGGGGCGCTAAACCGCTATCTAAATCATGTCAGTAAGACCTTAGACTTGGTATGTGCTTAGCATGAATGTTGATCTAGTCAAATAGAACGCTTTCGTGAAAAATAAATCAATAAAGCACAAAATATAGAAGATAATCTCTCAAAATCAAGCATCTAAAGCTGTGTGACCTAATTGTGACGTCACTAAAAGACAGAATCCATTCGGTGATCGCAAATCATCAATTGACGCAATTAGTAAACCTTGAGAAGCTTAGTATTTCTCTCTCAGTATTGAATGAACAATTATCTCATTGTTAAAACAATTCAATTCTTGAAAATTGACAATTCATGAATTTTACTCTTTACATTATGAAAGTAAATTAAAATTCAGATATCTCATCTTGAATTTTTTTGTTTAAAAAACGTGCGTAAAAATCTGTTGTTTTGCCAAAATGACTCTTGTATTTCATAGTTTCTGTTAAGAAGATGTGTAATGGATATACAAGAGGCTGCTCACTTTGAAATTTTAGGCGTTCATCGTGATATTTTCAATAAATATTTTATTCAGTCAGTGAAAAGTTGTCGTGAACTTTTGTGATTTCTTTAGGGAGTCATTGTTTCGGTCTGGGATGTACAATCCAATTGCCAGTTCTTTCTGAACCAAATGAAATATTTATCTACATCTTTTTATCATTTATTTATGGAATAAGTTATTACTATGGGTTTGTTTTTGGAACCGTTGTAACTTACGATTTGGTACCAAGTCATTGTTCTTCAAAAATAGACAATGGTTTTATCGAACTTGTAAGTAACAATCATACCAAAAATGAAAACCTGGTTGTAGTTTAGCTTATATGTACAGTATAGTCGGTGAATGTTTTATACTGTAGTTGTAGTTATGTTTACATAGTAGTAAGTTCCGCATTTTAGTTAACTTAATTCTTATTTAATACTTAGTTATTATGCATATTTAGTGTTAGAAACTAGAATATTTTCTTTCTTTCCTCAAACAGTGAACACAGGAGATGGCATAGACTACAGCCAACAAAGAAGAGAAAATATTGGTGACCTCATCGATGAAACTCTAACAGCTTTCGAAAAACATGGTGGAGAGGATGCCTTCATTAATATCAAATATCTCATACCAACATATGAATCGTGTGAGAGCAATAGTTAGACAGGAAAAAAGACGTTATATGTGTGTCCAATAGCTCAACATAAGTGAACGATTATTCAGGAATGGAGACATTATGAAGCCTTGTAGTCCATTGACTACCCCTAGTTGCCCCAAGTGATATCAGATGATAGACAATTTGGACTTTAATGTTTTACAACCGCTGTTTGACATTCCATGATTTCCCTGATATTCCATTGGAACTCCATTGAATCCAAATGGCAATCCATTGTTCATAATGATAATAAGGACTCTATCAATGAACAGAAAAAACATCAACATAAATGAATCTGAATGTCAACTGATTTGTAATCTTCTCTCTTAAATACCAAAGCTCAAATTTAAAAAAACCTCATTGGAAAATACCCAATTGCTTTTAAGCATTTTGAAGAAAATCATATTTCACATAAAAATATTTACTTAAGTCCCTGCGACATGAGCTTTTCAACTCTTTCTTTTGACAATGCATAACAATTAATACAATGTACATTCGTTCTCTGAATTAAATTTAGTTTATAACGTTTAGAATCAAACAATGGAATTCAAGTAAAGAATTCATTTTACAAGAAGTCATAATATAGAGGGAGCTGCTGTTTAGTCACGTCGTAATATAAAATATGATGTTTCATGTTGAACTTTCAGTTGTTAAGAAATGTAAATATTTATTGTACATATCATAATATAACTTTTGTATATTTTGTAAAAACTATCATTGTTTATGAATAAAAACTTAACAAGTACTAAATAAAATATACCATACATAGTAGTCATATTCATTAATTTAAGACCACCATCATATTTCCTGTTCAAACTCAGATTTACTCCGGGGATTTACTATGTCACAACTAGGAAGTGGTGACATATTTTGTAAAGCCACAGTTCTTTGTCACTTCCCAGGTGGTGATATGTTGTAACATACATGTACATAACTTTATAGTTCATATACTATATAGGGTGTTCCAGAACTCATGAGAATTCTGGGACACCCTGTAATTTACTAACTGTTGTTTGTTGTTTACTTACAGTGTGGGTGTGATGTTTAATTTTTAATAATATACTTTCATATTTTCCACTTTGTTCTATCAATCTTTTTCCTACCCTTTTTGAAAGAGTTTAACTTTGCATCTCTTAAGAAAAACTTTATCTACTAGTCCTTTGTGTTTTCAGGGTATTTATTTACATCTTTATAATAATGTCAACTGAACCTACAGTGAGGTTTCACACATTGTCAATGTTTTTAGCCCAACGTATCTAAAACCTGTAACGCATTTACAAGATTGAAGCATAGAAGCTTGTTCAATTAAAACGAGATGCGGTTGTGGATATGTTTTAGCTTATAACTTGTCGTGCAAAACCTCTCTTATATTTTAAAATGTTGTCATAGTTTTGTTTCAAATGCAGAAATTGGAGAAATGAATGAAATAACAAAACCAGAAACAAAAGAAAGATAAAAGAATTATAAATGCCAAAAGTCACAAAAGATCTTAGGGAAACATTACATCACAGCAAATGACAATCATTTTTTCACAGAACATGACATGTAATAGACATGACATCAAAGAACATGTGTAATTGACATGACATCAATATTGCTTCTTCATTTAAGCCTAACATTCACAAATATCCCAAATCATGATTTCTATTTTCCAAGGCACCTGCATTGGCACCAGAGATAATCATTTGATTTTACACAAATCCAGTAACTTTGTATAATCTGTCGATAGCTTTTTATTATAACCTTGTGTCAAGGTAACACTGTTGAACTAATTCATTTATTTGAATTATTTAATGAATATTGTGTGTTTTTATTTAACAAATGTGTGCTTTAACCCTTAATCCACATTTGGTGTTTTCAGTGAACACAGGAGATGGAATAGACTACAGCCAACAGAGACGTGAAAATATTGGGGATCTTGTCGGTGAAACTCTCTCAGCGTTTGAGCGTCACGGTGGCGAAGATGCGTTCATAAACATTAAATATCTCATCCCAACCTACGAGTCCTGCATCGTCAATTAGATTGTGTATAGCACCCTTTCAAAGTGTGACATGGTTGTCAAGTCATTTTCCATATTTAATCACAGTGATAAGGCAGAGTAGGTTTATGGGGGTTAAGATTTATAATGAGTTGTATATTTTTGAAAGAGTTAATTAAAATGATGATTGCCTTGGTATAGTTTGGGAGGGTAGCTTATTCATTGTACAATATGTAAATTATTAGTGTAAAATATTGAAAGTGTACATACATAAAGATGTCATATATTGATGTCATATATACAGATGTCATATATTGACTTCAAATCAGGACAATTCAGGTGAGGTGTCTTTGGACAGTAAATGAAACATAAAAAAATATTGTATTTTATAACTTGGATGTCAAGCCTAAGCTCAAAGCTTGGCTATAATTTAAAATGTTTTCAATAAAAATAGTATTAGCCACAAATGTACTTGGAAGTGGTCTGTGATGTTATCTTAAAAATCCATTAAATAAACGAAATATTTAAAGATGGCACTGGTGTTTTACAAAAAGATGTATTTTCACACAGATCCGAGGATACTCACTCTTCCAGTATTTCAATATACCAAGTATTAAATTGAAGTGAAGTATTTCTCATATGTACTTTTATTAATACTAATAGCCGTTTCATTTTCTCAAGTTTTACAGATTTTTTAACCAAAAATGAAAGATCAATTTCATGAGGAGTGAGAAAAATATTGAATGCTTGTTATTGTAATGCTGTGCATGTATTTGGAATTAAAATTTATGAATGTAAATACTTGCTTAACGTTGGTCTTTTTGACTCATCGTGACTGTTCAGCAAAAATTAATAAAATATGCCATAAATTCATACAAATCTTTCTCAATTATTTAGACCTTCATGATTGTGTGTATGAGTTGAACAAAATCATCCAATATTTTTATTTATTCTTAGTGACCACTGGGAACTGAACACCAAGTATCTCAAAAAATATTCTGGATTTGAAACTTGAAGAGGTTACGATTGCAGCAGTTACCCGAGTGCAGAGTTAAGTTTCAAACTAATGTACTTCTACTCAATTTGGCGGCTGTTTTTATTTGGCGGATCTGTCAAATGTTAAACTTCATCAAATTTACTGGCTTTGAAATTCCCTGGTAATTTTAGTACCATGTAAATTAATACATTGTAATATTGCAAGTCCGCCAAATTAAGTAGCCGCCAAATGTTCAAAACAGCAAATAGAAGTGCTAAATTCAATGTACTCAATTCTAATTTCACCATAGCAACATACATATACTGACATATTAGTGAATGAGCAATGAATATCGGGAACCCTCCAAATGGGAGGAATAAATATCTGGAGATGGCATGGGGCAAAAATAGGCAAGGAAAAACTCATATTCCCAACACACTCTGACACTCACATTGAATGGACAAAAGAATTATTTAAAATATGCAGATAATTACAAAAATTTATTGCATTGCCATGCATTGACAATTTGACAAAATAACATAGTCTTCATATAAGTATACATAAAATACAAGATTTATAATCATACTGTCCAATAATATTAAAGATACAAATACTTGCAAGGTTGAGATACAAAAGCTGAGACTCCCAAAGGGCAGATTAGGACAAGTTTTAAGTTTTGACAAAATATTGAAGTGATCATATCATTTCTATTGCTTCAACTTTGAGTAAGTTTCATAAAAACAAAGTATTTAAGTAGTAAATGATGCAAATCAGTTCAAAAAATTCAATTGGGAGTCTGCTTTAGATATTACATTGGGAATCTCTTTCCAATGGTAATATATTATTACATTACAAGTTCCTTTCCAATGGTACAATGTGGCATCATGGTAGATGTAAAATGAGACAATTCTATTATTTTGTTGAACATTGAATCACAATTACAACTTAAAAATCTGAAGTCATTTTAACAAATTGACATGGCCATAATATAAAAGTTTTAACATTGATGAAAAGATGTCACCCCCTTACAGCATTTCCAAATAGGTTAACAACATTTGACAAACAAGGCGATCGGTGATCCCGAGGTAGTTTTTTGCTGTTTTGATATTGAGATTAAATAAATGCGTAGAGCAGTTTTTCTTTCAAAAGGGTAACCATCTCAAAGGGTTAATAATCAACAAATATTTAAGTAGTACAGTATAGCTAAATACTAGTATGAAAAGATATGAATACACAAATTATGGCATTACATTATTATTTACAATAGGTACAAGTAAAGCTTTTTTACAGATCTACATATTAAAACATTGTTACCATATATTTCAGAACTAGCTGTATGGACCAACAAAAATGTGATGTTAAAAAACATGAGTGCCCTTAAAAGAAATGTAACAGTGCAAATAAGTTAAAGTTGAATGTAAAATAAACATAACTGTTAATAACAATAAAATAGAAATTGTAAATAAGACAACAGATCTTCTTTTCGTCATGTCTGATATCTTATTAAGAGTGGATTTATAAATGCTCTTAATGTAGTTTGCAATTATTAAGAGTGAACTTATAAATGCACTTTATGTTTCAGTTTTTAACACTCAACACTGTACTGAAACTTTAACCCATTGATATAAATTCACACCATTTTTAGAATAGATCAGTCCCTTAAAGTTAAAAGCAGATCATTTTTAATTTTCATGATGTAAAATGAAAAAATGATGAATTGAGATTTAGTTTTGCTGTAGTTTTCACAATCCAGCTTAGTTATAAACTACTAATCATACCAAGTCTCTGTGTTTCTATTTACTCCTAAGCCATTTATGTACTTGATATTCCGGTTAAATAAGCTGTAAAATCCTTTAACATTACCCATGACTGTGTCTTCAATACATATACACACTAAATAAAACATTTAATCATGTAAAACCTTAACTATACAAAGCAGTTCTGTACAACATGAAAAATACTGTGCACCATTACATAGCAAAAAACTCAATTTCTAAAGCTTGAGTATTAAAAAGTTTACTTAGTTTGTGAATATTGATTAAATCAATCCAAACTGACAAATTATGCAAACTTATAACACTGTGATGGGTTTTCATAGTTTATATGTTCCTATTTTCCTGATAATGTGGTTGTTTAGTTTTCCATTGAAGTAAATATAACACCTAGATCATATTTAGGTAGATCTAGATCATATTTAGATCAAAATCACAAATGTTTTTCACTGCAATTTTTTTCTTCAGCTGGAAATATATCTGAAAAACACAAAATGGATTGATTAACATCATATTAATTAAAGGTCAATTTTGTTTGCACAGAACAGCAAAGATCACAAAAATAGTTTCATCACATCCTTCTTTTTCTATTAAAGACTGAATATGTACACGATAAAACATTAAAATGAGAGGCATGCATAAAAACTTAAATAACATTATGGACACCATTTGTTAAATTTTGTGCTTTCTTGCACTAATGGCAACTTACACATTAAATTGAGTTATTTACACAAGTGGGTAGCTGGCCTGTGTTGCTACGCCACATTGGTTGTCCTTGTTACGCAACATCTTAATATAGCCGCTCTCGCCCCATGTCTCGCCCCAGCTGTTCTTCACAAGCCAGTAATCGCCATCATCTGTTGTGCCATAACCAACAACCAGAACGCCATGGTCGAGTTGGGTGCTGCTGCACTTAGGCTCAACGTAGACTCCTGGAAGCAAAAACCGACAATGAAACTGCAGTAATAGATTTATGCCTTTCATATAGTCTATAACTATTCTTCAAATGGGCAGTCTTGTTTAGGCACCCCCCCTGTTCCAAGTAACCATGACAATGAAATATGAATTCTTGATCTGAATTCTACCCATAGCTGAGTTATTTGAGTTTTCACCCGGACACACAGACAGACAGATGGTCAGACGGCTTTCCTATATCCCCCTCGAACTTCGTTTATTGGTGGGATAATAACAAGGATGTTTTCCCAATTAGCAAATTTGAATAAAATGCAAGGTTTGTTAAAGGGGGCATTTTTCATTCATAGTCTGAGCATTGTTCTCAAAATATTATCGCATGGTCTCAATTTTCTCAAGAAATCACTTACCACTTTCATAAAGCTGGAATGACTGGTGCCCTGCGTCAATTGCCACCGAAATTGGACCAACAGTGGCGCATGCCTCTTTAAGCTTCTCTTCACTTCCAGATGTGACATCGACATAGCCAGCGTCAGTAGCACCAACAGTTCGTTTTTTGAAATGACATTTTTCATCCTACAAAATATTTCATGAATAATTATACACTCTATTCATATCATTTTGTGTGTACATACTTTAATATACATGGAATCGAAATGTGCCTTGTTTTGTATTCCTGATGAGTTGCCCAATGTGCATTCTCATTCTCATACAAGAATGCAAGATGTGATCTCAAATTCTAATTATAAAATATATATTTAGACGCACATTAAAATGCATGCACTTCCCTGTTTACCAAACCACTTGACCTAAATTCATAATCTAAGACTTTGAATGTCCCTCATATAAATAAATATATATAAATCGTGACAAGGATATAAAATTAAGGAGAAAATCAACATTAGGACTATGAGTGTGACCTTATGAACATATATTGAGTACTGATTTTAGGATAAGCCAAAATAATTAATTGACTTCTTTCCATCATTTTTTGATTTTATATAAGTTTTTGCCGAAGATCACGCTACAAGCTTGATAAAGCAGTTTAATTCAATGAAAACTAAACGTTTACCAGAACTGACACTTACCACCTTTTTAAAGAGGAAGTTCTAGCCATTACTGTCTCATTCAAAATAGTATATGGTAAACGTTGATTATGGATTTTGGCAAAGTAATTTAATTTGAGGAAAATTAAAAATATCAAAATTGATACATCTCCTAATACTGACAACAATAACAAGGCATCAACATGCAAAATGTCACCACCCACCAAACTCAACAACAACAGCCAAACGCCATCCACATGGAGACTATAATAATATGTCACCACTTGTGGTTGTGACATAAAAAATGTGACGAGTAAACAAAAAGTTGAATCCACTTACCTCTCCTTCATATGGGTAGGATGTCTCAGTGTCAATGCCCTTGTTTTCTTTAATGTACTGGAAAGCGTTGTCCATAAGTCCCCCATTGCAGCCATTGTTGCCGTATGACTTACTGCAGTCAACCAAGTTCTGCTCACTCAGAGACACAAGTTTGCCAGTCTGCTTGAAATGTTGGCCTTCTAGAGAACCAGTCTGAAATATTATAATTAAATGATTTATTATTCTGAACTATAGGCTATCAAAAATGTTCACAGAATCTTTCTTTTTTTCACAAACTGGAGAACCCATGGATTACCACAATGATTTTGAGCTAGCATTCAGCTTTTAAGAGGCTCAAAATGTGGCAAAAAATGTGATAATTCTTTTCTCGTAAATGTAATGCACTAGTAAGTCATATTACATACTTTGCTTTGAAAGAATACCAAAGTTTGACTCACCGTGCTGAAAGCCCAACAGCTTCCACAATGTCCTTGGTTCTTAACATCAGTGACGTAGCCTTTAGTTCGCCAATCTACTTCCTCTGGTACATTGACGAAAGATGGAGACATGTATGAGACTCTACTAGTAGCTTTGCTTGCGTTTGAGTTTCCTTTGAAGCCATTCATCACACTTACAAACTCCTCAAGTTCCTAGAGCAAAATCAAGTGAATTAATAATAGATTGATTGCTGTGAAGGGTGATTCACATAGCTACATTGATATATCCTATTGTCTCATAAAGGAGTCATACTGATATAGCCTTTTGTTTCCTAACGAAGCCACATTGAAGGAGCCACATTGATATGTAGTATTGTCTCCTGAAGCAATCACATTAATATATTCTATTGTCTCACAAAGGAGCCACACTGATATAGCCTTTTAACTACCAAGGGAGCCACACTGATATATCCTATTGTCTCCTAAAGGAGAAATAACCATAATTTCAATATCTCCTTAACTTACATTGATTTATGTCATAATTTCATCACTTTGTATAAAATAACTGACATTTTGAGTAAATGGGATGACCTTGCTAAATTTATTTAGTTCTTCAAAATAAGTCTGGATTACTTTTTAATCTGGCAATGATGTATGGAAGCCTCCCCAATCCCCCCCCCCCAACTCCAACATAGATTCAACAAATGAAAAGGGACTGAAAATGAGCCTAGATGCAAGACACACAAGTAGGGTCAACTAAGTCTATACTGTAGATATCGGTTACTTATAAATTAGTCAAAAGGGAAACCAAAGAAGGTCAAATCAGGATAACAGAAATTATTCTTGTCAAACAATCAAACCAAAAACTCTGGCAATCCAAGAATGTTAAGACTATGTTATTTTCAAAACTAGTCAGTAAAGTTATTCGAAGTTTATCTTTATCCTTGAGTTAAAATGTATATTAAATTGATGAGTATACAAAGTACTATTGTAATTGGAAACCAACTCGCATAAAGAAGAAAATCATTATACTTCACAAAAAACTATAAGTGCAGAACTTTTAGGAGATGATTTGAGTTATACAGGAACCGAGGTGTTCAAATATGACTTCACTTTGACTTATTAATTCTAAAGTTTTAAACATGCAAATTCTATTTTGGCACTAAGTCACACTGACCTTAAAAGCCCATGCCTTGATCACATGATTGCTTTTGAGGTGTACAATTTCAATAAAACTCCCACTAGCACAGATTAAGACCACTTGTTATTGTACATGTTGTAAAGTATACCACAAAATTAACATATATCATTGAATTGTGTCACATGCTCCGAATCTTAATTAAAAGCATGTGATTCACTTTGACTTATTAATTCTAAAGTTTTAAACATGCAAATTCTATTTTGGCACTAAGTCACACTGACCTTAAAAGCCCATGCCTTGATCACATGATTGCTTTTGAGGTGTACAATTTCAATAAAACTCCCACTAGCACAGATTAAGACCACTTGTTATTGTACATGTTGTAAAGTATACCACAAAATTAACATATATCATTGAATTGTGTCACATGCTCCGAATCTTAATTAAAAGCATGTGATTCACTTTGACTTATTAATTCTAAAGTTTTAAACATGCAAATTCTATTTTGGCACTAAGTCACACTGACCTTAAAAGCCCATGCCTTGATCACATGATTGCTTTTGAGGTGTACAATTTCAATAAAACTCCCACTAGCACAGATTAAGACCACTTGTTATTGTACATGTTGTAAAGTATACCACAAAATTAACATATATCATTGAATTGTCACATGCTCCAATCTTAATTAAAAGCATGTGATGTTTATCCAATTCTTCATCTATCACATGACTGGGAATTGAACCTTCACACAGATAGGTGAGGGGCGTTTAGACTCTACATGCTTCCAAAACTATCAGAAAATATTGTTGTATTAAAACAACTTTTTCATCTATTAGATATCTTAAGTATCATATATTCAGCCTCTTATACATTTAGTTGAGAGTTGTCATGATGACAATTTAAGATTAGAAAACATGTTAAGTGTTTGTTTAGACAAGCTATTTGAAAGAATGTAACCTAAGATTCATCCAAAGTCAAAATCAATAGACTGAGATGAGCGAACTAAATCATTTGGTTCTCATTTTACAAAAGCATTTTCTTTTCTTATTCCTTGATTGGTTAAAAAAAACATGTAGAAAAACCCAACCAACTTCTACTATTATTAGACAAAGTATGGTAAAAAAGCTACTCACCATATCAGCATATTCATTGGTGCCCAATCTAAAAGTTTTCTTGCCCTTGGAATGAAGGTAGTTATGTAGCTCAATTGTTTTTAAATTTTGGAGAAAGACCCCAAATCTGTGTTTTTCTTCCTCTATTGTTTCATATATTTTTTCTGGAATAAAAAGTAACATAATTACATGAGAGTTTATGTTCGCATATTTCACATTAAAAATGAAGAAAGTGTGAAAATATAAAAATAGTAAAATAATGATTTTTAATACTGTAGATTGGGTTAATTTGGCGCCCGCTTTAATTTGGCGAATTTGGCGAAATTGAAAAATTCGCCAATATAAATCTTCGCCAAAATTTAGAATGAATCCCCGGGAATTATCTAGGGTATTTCGTCGAGTGTATTTAGGTCACTTCCGGTTTAGTTTTTTCCAAAAATATGAAAAAATGTCTCTCATAAATTGGCTCAGAACTGGTCAGTCACTTATTAATACTCAGGGAAAAACTAGAAAGGAAAAGTGCAGTATAGTAGCAGCATCAATCGAGGTGCAAAATGTAAAGGATGATCTCACAAAAATGTACAAACGTGGTGAATATTGCCAGTGGTCCTCAAAAGAAAAAATTAACATAAAATTCGCAAACAACGCGTAAGTTAATTAAATTTTTTTTTGCTTATCCGCCAAATTAAATAGCCGCCAATATGCCAAAAATGGCAAAATCGCCAAATTAAGTAGCGCCAAATTAACCCAATCTACAGTATACAGCTACCTTTGAAGATGCTGATTAGTAGGGATCTGATCTTTAGGCAGGGGTGGGGGGAGGGTTATTTTATACTACAAATGCCATGTTAATCGGAAGTTATACAACTTCTTCCTCTTTCCTCTTTACTTATAATATTTAATAATTCGTTACATTTTCATATTCATATTAATTCATACTTACTGTGTTTTTGTTTAAATTGTTCCCAGAGAGATTCTTTTGGAGTATCATCGAATTTGTATAATGGAACTTGATGCATTTGTTTAACTTCCTGAGCAGGTTCAATTGCTGTCCATCTTAGGACTGAGTCTGAGGGAGCAGCTGTTGCTACGGCAACCAACAAAACGATGGCAAATACTTCATACATGTTTCTTCTATTCTGGAAATAAAACAGTGAGATTTAATGAAAGCTCTCTTTTGGATATGAAACTTGCATTCTATCAAGATAAAATGCATTGAATTTTAGCACAAGACACAAATGTACATGTAGTGGTTCCAGCTATGATTATTGATTGTCTGATAATGTTTGTTGATTTGCTTTTGTTGTTATTTTCCCCGTTATGTCTTCTTATTTCCTTGGTATTGTTTGGTGTCTGGTCTATAGACTTGTGACAGTCAGATCTCTATTATTTTGATGTTTTTCAGCTAAATATAGCTAAAACTAACATGGCTGAAACTCCCTAAATTACAGAGGCCACAGATTCACAGTACATTACCTAACTATCTGAAATATACAAAAGTTAGGGCAGTTCCATATAATGTTGCAATGTGGTCATTCAACTGCTTATTTTTCAAATTCAAAGTTGTTACTTGTCTTGTCTCACAGTCACACTTCTTTGATTGGGAGAGCACTGGTTACATGCAGACTAACTTTGCATTTGTTTAACTTTAAGTGTTATCAAGTCTTAATATCTTTATTTTTTCAGACTATAATGCTTGTTAATTTTTATGTCTTCCCACATCAGTGGAGTAGCGTGGGTATTTTGTGAGTGTACGCCACAATTGAGCGAAGCAAACAAGCTTCTGGGGGTTTTCTCTCCCAAGGAAATTTGAAAATGAGATTGCATTTCTGGGGCATTTTAAAATACAAAATTCCAACTAATATATATTGATAAAATGTAAATCATTGGCTATTTTTTTCAGAATATCCTTTTTTTAAGTGTGGTGCAATTTAATATAAAAAACTTTTCTCTAAATTTTGAGAGAATGCAATGCCGTTTTATGTGTATATGACATTACGCCGCGCCATTGACATGCACTGCTATACTAAAATGCCCAATCTAACTCTATACGTCCAACGAACATCTTCTCTAAATCCCTCAAAACTTTATTGATGAGAGCTCATTCACGTTTTCACGTTTGCGTTAATGGGAAAATCGAGAACAAGAAAAGTGAACTCAGTGCAGATTGTACTTCTATCAAGCAAATCATGGGCTTGGCCCATGAGACTTGTGAGCAAATCCATGAAAGTTTTTAATCACCTTGGCTTATACCTTCTTCCAAGGACTTCACTTATGGACATTTATGAAACAGAGACCTTTTGTAATATTTCTCTACACTAACAGTAACAATGTCATCAAATATCTCAAAACATTGACTCATTTCATCATCATGACTCAAAAATATAAAAACAAAAAAAGAACACAACTGAAATTTGAAGTGAAATAACACCTATTCTACATCAACAAACGTTACCAAAGTTGCAGAAGTTGTTCTTCGCGTATTTTTCCTTACCTGTACCACTTCTGTACTACGTCTTTTCACTCCAAGTCACCTGAATGAGGACACAAAGAAAGTTCCTTACCTTTTGAGTGCAAAGTTATGGAAGCGGTCAGTCATGTGATCATGTGATGCATTGTCATATGACTCGTCACGTGACAGAAGTATGACTTGCGAACTCACCTGTAATCAAATGTGATTTTTAGTGAACAGTAGGAAAAATTATCTTCTAAATGACATTATCAAAATCAAATGTTTGAAATTATTCTTTAAATCTTTGAAACATGTCAGACCAACTAAAATCAAATGTGATGGAATCGTGAAAAGCTATATTCAGATTTAGGGCTTTTGAATTTCCCGCCATATTTTGTGTTACAAAAGAGTCGTCGTAAATATTGAAATCAATAAAAATAAACAAACAATTGAACAAAGAAATTTCAGTATTTATGATCATCGATCGTAGCTATTCCACAATAAACCATTCTTTATGCAATTAATCCTTATCATAAGTCGTAAATCATGGACGTCTTATTCACTTCTGGCATCAAAATATGGTCGTGTCACTTTTTCATTTGCTCCAGAATTTCCCTTATTTACAGGCTGAATGCACAGCCACGATAAATCTTGACATGATAAGATAACAAAAAATTGGAAGAAGAGACCTAAATCCTCTGTGGGGTATTTCGACTGGCAGTTTTAAATCAAGGTTAGCTATTATTTATATTTAGAAATTGGTGAAATTTTGTAAAAACTTTTACAGCTTGCATACAAATTGTAAACAGTGACATATGCAATTCGAGACCCTATCTGTTGCAAGACTTATCCCTGACACAACCGTCACCATGTTATTTAGTGTTTTTAAGTTGTGCAAGGATCCTGCCATGACCGTGGTAGTGTAGCCTTGTAGAAGGCTTTAGCATTTGTTGATTTTTAAAATTTGGATATTTGTTTCCACTAGTGGTAGTGATATCGTGAAAGCCTGTTATAACCGTGACAATGCTATATTATATTGCAAGGCCGTGGTAATGTTAAAGCCTGATATGACCGTGACAATGCTATATTATATTGCAAGGCCTGTCATGACCGTGGTAATGTTTAAGCCTGATACTGTATGACCGTGACAATGGTTGCAAGCCTGTCATAACCGTGGTAATGTTAAAGCCTTATATGACCGTGACAATGGTTGCAAGCCTGTCATAACCATGGTAATGTTAAAGCCTGATATGACCGTGACATTGGATGCAAGGCCTGTCATGACCTGGTAATGTTAAAGCCTGATAATGTTAAAGCCTAATGTTAAAGCCTGATTTGACAGTGACAGTGGTTGCAAGGGCTGTCATGACCATGGTAATGTTAAAGTCTGATAAAGTTAGAGCCTAATGTTAAAGCCTGATAATGTTAAAGCCTAATGTTAAAGCCTGATATGACCGTGACAATGGTTGCAAGTCCTGTCTTGACCGTGGTAATGTTAAAGCACAATATGACCGTGACAAAGGTACTATTAAATGACCTTTAGTAGCATGAGAATACCGTAATGAAAATTCATCGTTTAAAATATGTAAATTTAAACCATAATTCATTTCCACAAACTATAATAATTCTTATTCAAGAACGTAAACATTGTCACGGTCATATCAGGCTTTAACATTACCACGGTCATGACAGGCCTTGCAACCATTGTCACGGTCATATCAGGCTTTCACGATAACACTACCACAGTCATGGCAGGATCCTTGTGAAACTTAAAAACACTTAATAACATGGTGACGGTTGTGCCAGGCATAAGTCTTGCAATAGATAGCATGTGATTCCATCGACATGTAATACATGTGATTGTGAAGTATCAATTTATTCCTTAAAATGGTAAGTCTTGCATCCAAGCTCTGTCAACAAGCTTGTCCTGAAATCTGAGCCACAAACAGTATTTGGAGATGTTACCCATAAAACATAAACATAAAGCTGTAAACAAACATGGGAGGACAGGATAAGGCCTGTCCGAATGAATTCTCAAGAGAGATAAGGGAATGTTTGCATACTGTATGTATGTACAGGTTATGCCTCCCACATGCCACACACATAACATTGACGGTATGTGGTAGTAGGGATATTTTTACTATCTATTAGGGTACCCAATGGCGGATTCAAGGGGAGTGCCCACGATGCCCCACCTCCTCCCAAACCAACGTCTTTATTATACAAAGTAATGATTTTATATGTAGGATAATTTGCTATGAAATTGTTCAGAATGCAGCGAATGATTTTCGATTTTCGAAATTTTTTGTGGGGTGAACCCACCAGATCCTCCCATTCTGGCCGTTATTCTCTGCGCTCACTCGTCATGGTTCGGTTCCCTCACAGCCACTATCAAGCGCCCCCCCCCCAAACACAAAATCCCAGATCCTCAGCTTGTACCAACGGGTAAGCTTAGTTTCAATATTAATCTGATAGATTTAGTTTTATCAGGAAAGAACTATTTATATATAGTCATTGAAAACGCTCAGATTGCACCAAAAATGTCCTTGAAAAAACATTTCCCGGGGGAGCATGCCCCCTAACTCCCCAAGAAGGTAGTAACCGCGCCATCTAATTTTTTTGAAAATGTACCCCCTTTTCAAATGTGATCCGACGTCCCTGGTACGACATATTCATTCATGTTTTGTTATGAACTTATGATGGATTTGAGTTCATGCTACAATGTATGTGCTGAACTGAATGGAAATATTTGTTTTTGAAAAAACAAGCAATCAATGAATCAATGAACCAGAATAAAATTATGTGTATAAAGAAAGCAGAAACATATACATGTAGTCTAGCTACATTACCTCTGTGACCCCCTCTACTTGACTAAACACCTTCTCACACAGTTGTGCAAGGGCTTGTAGCGAGATTAATGTACATGTTATCTTTGGTATTATTTTTATTTGTCATTTAGCTACAAAAATTAATTCTTTTCTGCTGTTTTTGAAGCATGACTTCAAAATTATCATGGTTGAAACTCCCAAAATTTCAATAGTAGTCACAGCTTTGGTGAATATTATGTACAAAATGTATTAAATTATTCCATGAGGTCTATTGGGTCATGTTTCCTTTTGTTCATAAATTGATGCATATATATAATGTTTGTTATAAACTTTTATCTGAACTTAGAACTGAACCATGCTTTAGGGAAACATTCTGTACAACGTGAGTTATCTGGGCAGGCTGTTGATACTATTATTTACTTCAGTGATCTCCACAGCATTAAAGCAAGTGGGCGCAGCACCTTCCTGCCAGGGGCATTGTTCGCGAATATACCCCGGGTGAAATGTTGACTTTGTTGACAGTTTATAGAAGGCGTGAATACAGTCATGTACGAATTGATATTTAGCCCTGTTTTACTTTTCAGATGCCTCAGTTAGATAGGTGGGCAGTCCTACAGCTTAGTTTGCTCATACTAGCCGTCCCTGCCCAGTATATGATCTCTAAGTACATGGACTCTCCGTCCACAGAGAGAAGTCAAGCTTTAAGAAAGTAAGAATCAATGCCTTGCCAGTCTAAAATGTCTCTCTTTACATTTATTGTTTATCTATCAACATTTCAGTTTCTGAAATTAGAATGTAGGTGTTGTACTTTCAAACACATTATTCACTTTTATGGCATTTTATGAAATTGTGAATGTGAGGGCAGTTGCATGACTGTATGGTTTACATGTTTTCTTGATGATTTTACTCTTTTTATCAATTCAAGTAGCATATATTGCAGAATAACATTTTCATTTTCTCTCATGTATCTTACATGTATTTTCACATATACTGTTTCTCTCTAATGAATGTCAGGCACATAGCGCCCCCCCCCCCCCCCCGGCCAAAAATTCTTTCAAAATCATGCAGCAGTTTTTTCATCATTCTGGATAATTTTCAAGCAATTTTGGCCATTTTTACGGCTAAATATGTCAAATGTGAATGCCCCTTGAATTTTTAAAACAGTGACCCCCCTAGGCAAAAGCTGGCTTCTTGGCCCGAGTGTATTGTCTGGTTTCCAAATTGATATTTTCTCATTAGAGAGAATATGGGACAAGTTAATACATATTAATGTGGCATTGCACAGGACTGGTTGAGATAAATGCTCTATATTCTTTACAGGATCCTCAGCAGTGCACTAGAACTTCGCAATAAATATTTCACCTGGAAATCATGGGAGAAATGGTACAGGCAAATAGTACAAAATCTCAGGGCAAAATCTCCCAGTTTTAAAGGAAATGCTGACGATGAAGGGGAATCCCCTGCTATTGAGGTCATGAAATACAGAGATCCAAAAGGACACTTTGCAGGTAGTTGTTTCAATACTGTTCGTTGTTGACTGGTAATTGATACATAACGCTATAGTAAGTAAGTTTAATAGAGTAAACTTCATTCAGGCATCTTGAGAAGATGGACTTAAGAGCAATAAGTAGTAAGTCATAAGTGATTCAAACAGGTAAAGATACATATCATATAGTACATTGGATTAGTTCAATATATAAAGTAGGGGTGTTAGCATATATTGAAACATCCTTTCCTTTCCGAAGTTTCTGAATCAAGATGTTCAGAAGATAAACTTAAGTACATGTAATTACAAATAGTCTAATGTGATTCATGACATCAACATGTATGATTGCATGGGAAATAAAAGATTAGATCTGTTTGTTTTCTTAGTGAGTGAGCAGAACATTTAAATTGTACTTAAAATAATTCTAATCTGATAACTATTTTGCTTATAGTGCTGTCCCCAGCTCCGATTTCGGTGATCGGCTAGTAAAAAAGGTTTGAGGGTATCATTTTGTTCCAGACACTCTCTAGAGTAAATTATCCTAACTTGAGTAAAAATGTGTGGTAAGTTAATTCGCTATGGGCAGTTAAAGAGGCGCCATCTATTCATTTTAAAACAGGGGGTAGGGGTATAAAATAATTTTTAACACATCTTAATAGTAAAATGACATTGAAATACTAATAAAATCTTATCAAAAACATTATTTACAATCAGTATGAATTTTTTGTGTGAATTAGGGTGAAAATAAGGGCATATTTTGAAATTCACTACAGGGGCGCCACCTATTTTCATACTTCTACCACGTGTAATAACTTATTTTAGATTCGTTAAGGTACGAAATGTACTGAAAAAATTCATTCTGAAGGACCTATATATGTTCATACCACATACTTAAAATTGGATCAATAGCTTTTGTACCTGGGGAGAAAAAAATTCTTGAAATTTAAAATTGTGGCATCATGCAGGATAGGGGTGACCATATCTCACATGATTAACTTCCAAAATATGGAGCATATGTATCTCAAATGTACTCAAAATGGTGCATGTACTCTTGCTTTGTCATAATATTACTAATAAGAAGTAGAAAAATGATTGTAAATTTTAAAAAATATTAATTCTCATTTTGGCTTCTGACGTCCCAGGGGTGACCATATCTCACCTTAATAACTTCCAAAATATGGAGCATATGTATCTCAATTGTGCTCAAAATGGTGTATGTACTCTTGCTATGTCATAATATTACTAATAAGAAGTGGAAAAATGATTGTACATTTTAAAAAATATTAATTCTCATTTTGGCTTCTGACGTTCCAGGGGTGACCATATCTCACCTTAATAACTTCCAAAATATTGAGCATTTGTATCTCAAATATACTCAAAATGGTGTATGTACTCTTGCTTTGTCATAATATTACTAATAAGAAGTAGAAAAATGATTGTACAATTTAAAAAATATTAATTCTCATTTTGGCTTCTGACGTTCCAGGGGTGACCATATCTCACCTTAATAACTTCCAAAATATGGAGCATATGTATCTCAAATGTGCTCAAAATGGTGTATATAGTCTTGCCTTGTCATAATATTACTTATAAGATGTAGAGAAATGATTGTACATTTTAAAAATATTAATCTTCATTTTAGCTTCCGACGTTCCAGGGATGACCACTGACCATATCTCACCTTAATAACTTCCAAAATATGTAACATATGTATCTCAAATGTACTCAAAATGGTCTATATAGTCGTGTCTTGTCATAATATTACTAATAAGATGTAGAAAAATGATTGCACATTTTTAAAAAATATTAATTCTCAATTTGGCTTCTGACGTCCCAGGTCTGACCATATCTCACCTTAACAACTTCCAAAATATGGAGCATATGTATCTCAAATGTACTCAAAATGGTGTATGTACTCTTGCTTTGTCATAATATTATACTAATAAGAAGATTATACATTCAAAAAATTTTAATTTTAGCTTCTGACATCCCTCAATAACTTCTAAAATTATGTAACATATACAACTCAAATATACCAAAAATGGGGCATATGGTCTTGCTTTGTCATAATATTATTCATGAGATGTAGAAAAAATTATTAGACCTTTTTTGAATTGAAATTTTCATTTTAGCATCCGAATCTGACATCCCAGGGGCAACTATATCTCACCTTGATATAACTCTCACGATATGCAACATATGCATCTCAAATGCGTGCCCAAAATGGTATAAATGTAGTCTTGTTTTGTCATATTTATTGAGATTCATGAAATCAGAAGTTCAGAATTAATGGATTGGACTGTCTCCCCTGCAGGCTTCAGCTACATATAGTCCAGAGACATTAAGATCTACTTTCAAATATTTGCATCTTCTCCCCAAACACTCCTTATATTACAGGAACAATGGACGATAAGTCTTTTGCATGCCTTGGATGCAACATCTTTTGTATACTGGTAGCCTATCAGTAGTGTGAGTAGCCTAGCCTCATTTACCAAAATTGGCCCCTTAACCCCAAATCTGACCCGAAATTTTGAAAATATCCTGAAAAATTAGGCCTAAGAGGCGCATTTATGCCCAAACATACACCAAACTGTCCCACTGCTAAATTACAAGGGCGATAAGTCGCTTCTAATCCTGAATGACATTCTCTAGTTTGCATGGTTTGTCGACATGTCATGTTGTGCTATATTGTTATTGCCCAATCTCAACAATTGTATTCACTGTATGGCCTACCGTGCCAAGAATAATGCAATTGTTCCAAAAGCTAATCTCTTCTTTGGGACCCTAGAAGTGTGGGACATCACAATCATAGATAATATTTCATTACAATCAATGTATGTTGTATGAACATGCAAACTAGAGAATGTTAATGTGGCTAGAAAGATTGATCATTACAAAGAGCTCCTTTTCCCATATTTTACATACTCAAAATCCTTCAATCCAAGGTGCATATATTGCAGGCCACAGGATAACATATTAACACCTTACATTAGCAGTTGCCATTACTTCATGAATGGAGTAAAGTACTCCCACTATTGACAGGCTAAAAGGATTCCTGTATGGATTACAAAAGATGTTGGATCCAAGGTATGCAAGGGAATAATCTCATCCATTGTACTTGTAAAGGGTGTTTGGGGAGCAGATGCAAATATTTGAAAGCAGATATTATTTGCCCTGAATTATATGTAGCTGTAGAGCACACATTTGAGATGCATATGTTGCATATCGTGAGAGTTATCAAGGTGAGATAGCCCCTGGGACACCAGAGGCTAAAATTAAAATTTATAAAAAAATGCTACATTTTTCTACATTTCATTAGTAATATGAAAAAGACAGGATGAGGATTATATGTTACATACAGTATCTTAGAAGTTATTTTTATTATTATATGGTGCGATATGATTACCCAGGAACGTAAGAAGCTAAAATTAAAATTTTTGAAATGTATAATCATTTTCTACTTCTTATTAGTAATATTATGATAAATAAAAAAGCAAGAGTACATACACCTTTTTGAGTACATTTGAGATACATATGCTCCATATTTTGGAAGTTATTAAGGTGAGATATGGTCACCCCTGGGACGTCAGAAGCCAAAATGAGAATCAATATTTTCTAAAATGTACAATCATTTTTCTACTTCTTATTAGTAATATTATGACAAATCAAGAGTACATACACCATTTTGATTACATTTGAGATACATAAGCTCCATATTTTGGAAGTTATTAAGGTGAGATATGGTCACCCCTGGGACGTCAGAAGCCAAAATGAGAATCAATATTTTTTAAAATGTACAATCATTTTTCTACTTCTTATTAGTAATATTATGACAAAGCAAGAGTACATACACCATTTTGAGTACATTTGAGATACATATGCTCCATATTTTGGAAGTTATTAAGGTGAGATATGGTCACCCCTGGGACGTCAGAAACCAAAATGAGAATTAATATTTTTTAAAATGTACAATCATTTTTCTACTTCTTATTAGTAATATTATGACAAAGCAAGAGTACATACACCATTTTGAGTACATTTGAGATACATATGCTCCATATTTTGGAAGTTAATCATGTGAGATATGGTCACCCCTATCCTGAATGATGCCAAAATTTTAAATTTCAATAATTTTTTTCTCCGCCAGTACATAAGCAATTGATCCAATTTTAAGTATGTGGTATGAACATATATAGGTCCTTCAGAATGAATTTTTTCAGTACATTTCGTACCTTAACGAATCTAAAATAAGTTATTACACGTGGTAGAAGTATGAAAATAGGTGGCGCCCCTGTAGTGAATTTCAAAATATGCCCTTATTTTCACCCTAATTCACACAAAAAAATTCATACTGATTGTAAATAATGTTTTTGATAAGATTTTATTAGTATTTCAATGTCATTTTACTATTAAGATGTGTTAAAAATTATTTTTTACCCCTACCCCCTGTTTTAAAATGAATAGATGGCGCCTCTTTAACTGCCCATAGCGAATTTACTTACCATACATTTTTACTCAAGTTAGAATAATTTACTCTAGAGAGTGTCTGGAACAAAATGATACCCTCAAACCTTTTTTACTAGCCGATCACCGAAATCGGAGCTGGGGACAGCACTATTAAGGCTAAGCTGTTTTTAACTTTTGATTACAAAAACTGTAACTTATGTAATAGCTCATCACAGTATCATGCAATGTTTTTGTTAAAAGTTATCTTTAGTTGTCACATATGACATGTGTTTAATACCTCACATTTTTAGATAATTACAATTTAACACACCTGAGTTATTTGAATTTGAATCATTTCATTTTGATTGCAAAAGTTCATGTTAAGATAAAAGTTATTTAGTAACATAGTCCTTTAAATATGCAGGTGCATTCCTAGTACGCTGTGGTCTAGGTTGAATAACTGGTTTGACTATATTTCCAGTAGGAACACTTTGTATGTCCAGATTAACTTCAGGCACTTGAGACTCAGAAGTGAGAGTAGGGAGGGGTTTTGAAGGAGTTAAAGGTTGAGGTTGA